AGACACCTGATAGTAGAAATAAACCTAAAAATGAAAAAGTTTTATTTTCTCTCTTTTTTAGACCTAATCGGGCATAGCTAAAATATTGATATTAGAGATATTCATCAAGTTTTTACAGGATAGAATACTTTTAAACTCGATCTCAGTTCGAGAAAAATAGAAAAATATGTAACATGATTGACACTTTTATTCATTCAATTTATAACAAATCAATTATTACTAACAGATATAAGAGTCATATAAGAAACAAAATACACCATTAAGTATATTGATGAAAAATAAAATTAGAAAAAGAATATGTTTATTTCTTGATTAGCATTTGAATTTGACAAATAACTTCATCTTGTGAAAGATCATCACAATTAATAAGATACGTATAAGGTTCATCTTCCTGATTTATAGGTAATTCAAGTACTGCAATTTGTGAATCTAATAATAAAGGATTCATGAAATGTTCATGTTGACGTCGAAGTAACCGATTATGTAATGCTTCTCGTGATAATGTTAATATAATAAGATAAACAGCTTCTTTTGGCATGTCTGCTTGAGCATTAGGATTTGATGAACCAGTTAATAAGATGTGTCGATAGGATCTTTTTAAAGCTGAACATGTCATAACACAACTTCGATTTGTTAATAGATATTTTTTTAATTGTTCATGAAGAAGTTGTAACCAAGGAAGACGATCTTCATCTGTTAATGCTATACCCGCTGTCATTTTATCAATATTCGCTTTAGAATGAAACTCATCGGCTTCAATGTAATCCCAACCATATAAATCCTTTAATCTTTTAGCTGTAGATGTTTTACCAACAGCTGTTACACCTCCAATAATGACAATAGGCATCTGAGAAACAAAAAGAGAAAATACAACATTATTTATTCATTAATATATATCTGATATGTTTTAATTGCTCAATAAAAAATATGTATGTTATGAAACAAAAAAAAAAGCTAAACTGAAAGCCACTGTTGAAAATATTCATTCATTTTTTCTCGTACATTGGCACGTCCGACATTAACTCTATAATATCAAAAATAGATTAATAAATAATAACTTCGATTTTTTCATTTACATACGTTGGAATTATTCTTTTTGGTTTAAGATATTGAATAAAATATTTCAATTCATCAAAAGAACTATGTTCACTATAGGGAAAACCTAAGTATTGACATAATAAACATAATGCATTATTTATAAATAGCAAAAGAATCAAACCATAGATAGTAATATTTGATGATTTCGATTCAATGGAATAATGTTTTGATCCATTTATTGATCGAGGAGTTGTCCAACCTGTTGGTTTTATTCCAATTATTTTATTATATTTTAATGAATATTTATCCAAATGTGTTTGTAGCATCTTTTATTAAACATAAAAGAATAGATTTTCTTTTATTTACTCAAATCTTACCGGTTGAGAAATTGAACCCATACCAACAACATGAACATTTGTTTCATCGGGATTTGTTGTTAAACGTGTTGACAAATCAGTATTTTCTAATTGATTAAGTATACGAAATTTCCTTGTTTCAACAAATATTTTGCAATCCAGTGCTTTTGCAATAGCTAAATAAAAACGAAATATTTTCATCTAGTTTATAAAAATATATGTGCCTATGATTTACCATGAAATATTCGCTCTTTACCAATAAGATATGTTCCAATAGCAATCAATGTTCTTGCATTTCCTTTTAATGAATCTAAGACTAATTCAACAGCACTTTTGATGACTTCATCTTGAGATGGAAAACGATAATGAGAATCACAATAACTAAATTGTATAATAATATTTAAAAAAAAAACCAATAAAAAAAAATCAACATACGTTGTATCAAGATAAATTGTATCTATTTGATTAGGTTGAAGTAATGGATGTCTTAAAAGATGTGGTGCTGCTCGAAAATCTCCCGTATGTAAAACTAATTTACCATTTGGAAATCGAAACAAAAACATATTTGAACCGGGACAACTAAAATCAATGAAAATAAAGTTTTCCTTTATATATATATATACCTATATATTTACTGATTGGCATCTAAAAGAGCTACATCGATACCATGAACAGTCGTAAACACATCCATAGGAAGAATAGTCATATTTTCTGGTCGAATACCTAATTGACTTTTACACAAATTGCTAGTAATCTATGAAAGGAAAAATAAAGTAGATGATCAGATCAAATAAGTAATTGACTAACTTGATTTGAATAAAGCATATTAGAAAACTTTTTATTCAATCCACCATAATGATCCGAATGAAAATGTGAAAGAAAATAAGCTTGTATTCCATCGATATTACCAAAATTAAATGCATCAATACAAAATGTTGTACCTAAAGTATCCGATTATAGTTTGTATAATGCGTACAAATATTTTGTCATTTAGAAAAAGTACCTAGAATGATAGAGCTAGCAAACGTCTACAAAATGTAACGCCTGCCAGTTCTCTTCAACATGTTTTGGCTAAGAGACATCAATCTTATGAAAGATACAAAAGCATTTTTTTCTCTTATCTAGCATGAAAACATCATTTTTGTGCTTTTCGTAAAGTTGATTCATTTTAGTAAAAAAAAAAACAAACCGTAAAGAGCTAAAACAAAATTTTCGTTTTGTAGAAAATTTTTCACTCTATCAATTCGAATCATTCACACAGAATTAAGATGGCAAATTCTAGAATCTGGAAAATTTTGGTTTTGATTTTTCTGAAATTCTATCATCGGAATAAAATTGAGAATAAATTTGATCGGATCATCTTTGGAGTTACTGCATATACTCAAGAAGATTCACTTTACCAGGTATTTTTTTGTAAAATGGACATGTTCTTTTAACAGCAGCTGTTGGTGTATTAAATCGATAATAATTCGATGATTGATCTTTGTCTAATTCAGACCATTGTTGTTTTAATTCATCATCGACTGGTTTCGATTTGATTGATTTACTAAATATTTGTTTCCATATTGATTTACTATCGACACTAGTTGATGATGTTTGTGTGGTAATTGTATTAACTGATAAAGAACTGTTCGATTCATCATTCCATTGAGAGAAAACTTCTTCTTCATCAATATCAATTCCATCAAGAGATACTGTTCGTGTTTGATCAATTGTTATTTCTTGTTTGATGCTTGATGGCGAAGAGACTGTTCGAACTAATGTACTTGAAGATGTTGACTTAGCTACTGTAAAAGATTTCTAAAATAGAATATAAAAACGTATTTTATAATAAGACACTAATCAGAGGATTTATGAAACAAAAAAAACTTGTCTTGAATATAAATGACAAAGTCGCATTAGTATCAATGAGAAAGCTCAAGTAAATCAATGAAACGTAAGCAGAGAGTAGCTAATTTTCATTTGGTATTAATTTTTAAGTCCACGTATTAAAATTATTATAAATTCTAATTTTTCAAGATTTCTACAAATCAAATCAGAACATTACTTTCTTGAGAATAAATAAGAATCAGAATAATGATTAAGATGATGTTCAGGATGTGAGTGTCGAATAACAGTGGTGATAATGTTGAAAATACTCTCAGGAGTACGTCATTGATATGTAACAAATACCCACTGTTACCATAGCCGAGAAGATCCTATTTTGTTAATCTCTAATATCTGCTTTTGTGGTGATGATTTTCAATTAGCCATGTCAATAATTCACTAACTACTGCTTTCTTGTTTATTGTCATAGGTTATTTCTGTCAAAAGTCAGAAAACAATAACCAGAGATTCAGTGAAAGTTAGTCATAATTTAAGATTTCCCATTACATCAATATAATTCAGATATGATGTTCTAATTGAGTATGGCGTGATTCAAAGGTAAAGGTTATTCAGCGCACAATTTTTGTATATTTACTCTATTGTTTAGATGTAATAAAACGTATATATATGATTGTATTGCGTATTTTTAATTTACGATATTCTGATGCCAACAGTTCGAGCTAAAAATTGAACGCTAGGATATCATCCTAAAGTCGTTCGATCGAAATATAAAATTAGCAGTAAAAAGAAAAATATTCTGCATAATTTATTGAATCTACTTAAGCGAAATGTTTAACATCTAAAATTTTCAATTTCAATCTAACTGAATTCGTTGATCAAAACAATTATAATTTACCGTTTGTGTTATTTTTTTCTTTGATTGTTTTGATGAACTTTCATTTGATGATGAAGTAATCATTTTTAAATTCCATTTTCTTTCTTCATTACCATTATCATTACTACTAGTTCTTATAATTGATAATGATGTTTGTCTAGTATTACCTATTATTGGTTGTTTATTCACTATTTGTAATGGTTTATATTTTCCTAATGAAGATGAACGTTGACGTTTATTAGTTTCATTCATTTCTCTATCTTCATCATCAGATGATATTGTTATAACTCTTTTTATTGATATTATTTTCTCTTCATTTTCATCTTCAGTAAAATAACTATTTTTAGTATTATCCATAAAATTAAAAAAAAATCTAAAAGAATGGATCTTATGTAAATTTCTTTTATTCTTGTTTTTCTTTTATTGCTTTATTAATCTATTTTAAGTTTATCTAAATCAAGATAACATGCATAAAATTCATAGAAGATATTATTTGCTTGTCGATGATTGATATATTTATTGAATTTGAGTACATTATCATCTTCACGATAGATTAAATTGAGACTATTATTATCGGGTATGACACGTAATAACTAGAAGATTAAAAACAAAAAGTTTCAAATTAAACAATAATACAACAAAAATTTTATCATACTGTTTCATCTTCATTTTTAATGGTGTATACAACATCACCACCACCAACTGTATCATCAGTCTCATCTAAATAAATCAATTTTGTATCGATAAAATTTTAATATCAAGAAGTACCTGAATGATAATTAAAGAAGATCATAACATCAAGTGTTCCATCTTTTTCTGCATTATCATCACCATCATCAACATTATTTTCTTCATTATTATCCGTATCAAATGATAAACTATAATATGTATGTTTCCATCTTCGTAATTCAAAGTGCCATCGTGGTACAGATCGAGAAGAATTTGTTGACGAAGCAGCTTCAGCTTAATAAAGAAAAAAGTTTTTGAATAGATTAAAGTAAAATACGCTACTAGTAGGATTTGATTTTGTTTTCTTAGGTGAAGGTTCATATTCTGTTTCTTCATCGTCATCATTTTCTGATGTCAAACCCGTAAGTGACCCAAGAATAGTAAACATTGGTTCAGAACCAAAAAGTTCAATAAGATTTTTTAGTGCTGATGGTAAAGCAGTGACATCAGCAATATCATAATTCCTTTTAAATAATCAATTCAAACTTTTGTTTTTTACAGAAAATTTATTTTATTACCTTTTATTATAAGGTCCACGTCGTATCCATTTGATTGTATCACTTTTTAATTCATTGACCATTGATTGAAAATAATCTTTCTTTATAAAACAATAATACCAAGCAAACGATATATAAATGAATGTTAAATCATATTAAAGATTACTTGAAAAAATTCAGATAATTTTGTTTCGGAATTTTCTTGAAATGCCATTTGAACATCATATTGAGTTTCAACTTTGAGATATATGGGTGATATCGTTTGATTCACACGATCTAACTAAAATACATCAAATATAGATTTATTTCATAGCATAAGAAAACAAAACAAATTCTACATCAGACTGTTGAAATTTCGTTGCTGGTTTCGTGGCAGGTAATGGTTCAAAAACAGGTACTGCTCGTGGATTGATAGGACCATGCAGCCAACCATTAACCGATAAACGAGCTCCTTGTTTGTCATTCAAAACTTCTGCTACCTAATTGAGTTATAGAATTAATATTTTAATTGAGCGTTTTTTTTTTTTATTGTTTCAATGTGTATAAGAAAAATATGAACGTTCTCTACAATAAGAGTCTTTGATAAATTATTGAATTTAGCCGTTATCTTGAAAGTCTTATATTTGTATAGTTTTAGATGTCAATACGTGACATGCAATTTGTATTGCATAAATACATTCAATGAAAACGGTGTTTAAAGTGAACATTTGAAATTCTAATTTTGTTCTATTTGAATCAATTAAAATTACCTGATGATAAGATTTATCAGTAACTTCAAAGAAGGCCAATCGATTTCGTTTTGGTAATAATGATTTCGCTATATTACGTGGTTGATTTTCTTCTACAATTTCAAAACAATAATAACAAATACAATCCAAACAATTCTCAATTATATTTACCATCAGTATCAAATAGATCTAGTGCTCCACCATCTGTTTCTTTCCAATCATCAGGTACAAGATAATATATAAAAGCAACACGACGACCTTCGATTGTTCCATGTATATCATCATCATGACATAAAAGATAATCTTCAACGAAAAACAAACGACAATTTCGATAATTAAAAAAACAAAACAACCTTTAAAAAAGCTACCTGTGTAGTCATATTTTGAACATGTCATATCAATTTTATCACTGAAACGAATATCAGTTGTTTGTGCAAGCCAATCTTTGAAATCTACATAGACAAATTGCCTGGATTCGAATAAAAATATAATATCATTCGACATATCGAATAAACCCACTTGATCTGTTCAATAGCAGGCAATGTTACATTGGTTAAATCATCGGACTACATAAAAGAGAAAAATTATTTCAATTAATACGAAATTCCTTTTTTTTTGTTTTTAATTTTTAACCTGTTGAAATTTATATAAATCATTATTTTTTTGATTCATCTTGATATTACTTAATTCATTGATTAATTGACTACAAAATTGATCAACATTTTTATCGAGAACAAAATCATCGATAATACAATATGAAAATGGTTCATGTTCCAATCTTATAACTTGAAGAAATTTCTTTTTTAAACTATATAATTTTCTTTGATATCATACAAACCTTTTTCATGAATTGGTAATCGACTTGTATAAGCATCTCGAAAACGTTTGATTAAATCATTATCAGTTAATATTGGATTAACTGATACTAAACGTGGTTTTTTTTCTGTTGATGACATTTTTTTTCAAAAGAAAATTTTCTGAAAAAAACAAAAAAAGTTAAAACACGCAAAAGAAAATTCTAATTCTATTATATTTATGACTGATTTCGATTGGACAATTGATTATCTTGTCTTTAACCTTCATCAGAAATTTTTATCGAACGTTGATTGTAGCGTTGATGTTTTCTTTTTACCAATCACATAGAAGTTTGAAGAACTTGGTCTTTTTATCGTCCTTTGTTATTTCGTGTGCACGTGCTTAAAAACTAGGTGAACTTTTGACAATGTTTTTTCGTTTTTTTCATTTTCCTTGAAAGATAAGTAGCATTTTCTTTGCTTTTATATGTACATTTGTGTCTGCTGCAACTATGATTTATTATTCAATCGATAAATATTTTGTTCTTTATGTTCATAGATATTTTAAAAGATGTTCTTTATTCTGTTCATTAAAAGGCAGATAGAAGATTAGTCATGCACCTTCTTTTTCTTTTACTGGATTATGATAAAAAGATACATTAACATTCGAAATAGAATTTCAAATAGGTAAAGGTAAAACGAAATTCGTTTGTTCATTCACCAAGGAATATGAGAGAAAAAGCAGATATGTAAAAGTTGAGTGACAAAAGAAAGAGAAAAGAGAAAGCAGAACAAAAAAGAAAAAAAAAGAATTCATTGAGCAATGGGACAATAACAACAGACGATTGTGCCTTATTACCTCGTGATCCGATGTTACTGGCGAGGTAAAAGAGAGGTCAACTGAAGGGAGTGAGGATTGAATAGAAAAGAAAGACGTACAATCAGCGAAGAGACGAACGGTCATATATCCATTTAAACACTTTTTTGTTGTTGTTAAATCACAAGAGCTCATTCTTCGAATTTTTATATCGAAAAAAAAAGGGCAAACGGATTAAAATTGTTACAACGAGAAGTAGAAAAAGAAATATTGATACTTTTCAATCATATTATGAAGTCTATGTACATAGATATTCGATTCTCGATCAAACACATGAATTTTTCTTTTTATAACTCTTTCTTACTTTGGACATAACAGATACTACTTGGTTCTTTTTTTTTATAACTTAGTTCTATATGGCTTCCTTTTAATCAAAACTCATAGATGAAGATGAATTCTATTGTTTCTCTTCTATATGCTTTTTTGTAATGATATATCGTATTGCAACATATGTAGTTCTTTTTTTCCCGTGTGTACTCTTCACGTTTCAAGGTAAATTACAGTATACATTCTTTTTTATGATTTATGTCTTCTTATTTTGTTATGTCAATATAACAGTGATGAAGAGGGTGTGAGTGAAAGAGAAAAAGAAAACAGGTATGCCAAAAAGGATAAGAATGACCTTGTTATACAATTCTTCATTTCTTTTTTCTGAAAATTCTTTTTGAAAAGATGACGAATATTTTATGGCTTTTGTTATGTTATGTTATGTTATGTTTTTTCTTTCTCTCTTCCGAATATGTCTTTATCTCAGTTTTAGATCAATGGAAGTGATAAGTGGTGAAGATTCATCATTTGTTATTGATGAAGTATCAAATATAATTAAAGATACAATTGAACGAATTATTGGTGGAAATTCTTATCAACATAATAAAGTTAATCGATGGACAGCTGATATTGTTGATCATGTCTTAACTGAACTTACAAAATTGGGTAAACCATTTAAATATATTGTACAAGCAGTATGTGATCTATTTATTTATTATTTTTTGTCTTTATATGAATATATATATATATATATTTAATTAGGTGATAATGCAAAAAAATGGAGCTGGTTTACATACAGCTAGTTCATGCTATTGGGATAATACAACTGATGGTAGTTGTACAGTTCGGTAACTATTATAATTCATTTTTATATAGGTAATTTATTTTTTGATATTTATTTAGTTGGGAAAATAAACATCTTTATGCAATTGTTTCTGTCTTTGGCTTATCTATTTAATATTAATTTTCAAACTTTTTATTTGTCGATTTATTCTTCATGTTTATCGTATATTTGTTTATTCTATGTATTTATACGAAATAATGCTTTGCTTTTTCTTTTTGTCTCTTTCTGTCTCTACGCATTAATAATAAATGAAATATAATATTAGTCGTCACAGCAATATATGCGCTTTTTTAAAATCTATTATTGCAAATATATGTGAACATTTTTCTTGTTTTCGTGTATTTCTGTTTTGATTTAAAATAAATTTGTCCTATAAGTTTGATTGTCTTGAAAACTTTTAGAAACTTGAAAAAAAAAAAAGATTATGTGTGGACGTTTTGCTTGTGGCTTAGCTCCTGATGTTGTACGTCGTTTATCGACTTATATGAATTCACAAACACAGGAATTAACATTACCACCATTTATTGATTTAATGTCTTCAATACGACCTTTTCGAGCTAGTTGGAATATATCTCCAACTTCGACTTGGTAATGATTAAGAATTGAATGATTTATCTTAAAATCAGGATTGAACAATTTGTTTTTCTTTTCTTAAATTCTAGTCTTTGTTTAATTTCGGCAAAACATTTAGATGAAACAGAAGATTCAGCAGCACGTGTTCTTTGTACGATGCGTTGGTCACTTGTGCCTCATTATCATAAAGGCAATTTAAATGAATTTAAACCTATTTTAAATAATTGTCGAGTTGAAACTATTGAAGAAAAACCAACATTTAAAGTACCATTAAGAAATGGTAAACGATGTGTTATACTTGCTGAAGGGTAAATTTGAACTGGTTTTTATTTAATAATTCTATAATCATTGTTTTTGCTTTTGCTTAGTTTCTTCGAATGGAAAAAAGATGTTTCAAAAACACCATATTTTATATATGAAACTGAACCATTTATTCATGAAAAACATTATCCAAATATAAATGCTGATCAAATTCTTGAAAAAATCGAAAAAGAAAATCAAGGTAAATTACCATTATTAGCAATGGCAGGTGTTTTTGACGTCAATCGAAATTGTGAGGTATAATCTCAATATAAATACTTATTTAAAAACATCTTATTGTATTGTTATTTCATATAGGTGGATCCATTATATTCGTGTACGATTTGTACAGTCGATGCAAGTGAAACAATGTTAAATGTACATATTCGAATGCCAGTAAGAAAAAATTGTCGCGATTGTTATTTAAAAAAAAACAATCTCTGATTGCTAGGCTATTTTAACAACACAACAAGAAATCGATCAATGGCTTGATTTTGGTCGATATAATACAGAAAAAGTAATGATCGACGAGCTTTTAATTGAGAAATAATTGATTGTTTAAAATAGGCTCTACCATTACTTGTACCACATAATGATATTCAAATGTATCGAGTAACACCAAGTGTAGGATCAACAAAAATAAATGATATGAACAATATCAGACCATTTAGTTCCGATCAGAATACGTATACAAAAAAAAAACATGACGACTAAATTTATGTATTTATTTATTTTTGTTTGGTTAATTTTAGTAGAACAAATCCATCAAATCGAAATACACTCGATTCATTCGTTATCAAACGAGAACCAAGTCAATATTTTGAAGAATCAATAGTAAAAAATGAAAAAAAGAAAACACCAAAAAAAACATCTGCAAAACGTACACAAGGCACCATCGAAGATTATATGTTTAAAAATACGAAATCATCGGGAAAACGATTTAAAAAATAGATTTTTCTCTTGTTAATTATTATTTATTTTCTTGTCTTTGTTAGCGAATTGTTTTGTCAGATATCTATATATATTTATTTTTTTTTTGAACTCTGTATTTATCTAGTCAAGCTGAAGAAGTAATTTTTATTATGTATTTTACCAAACAAGCATTATATAACTGATCTTAGATGTAAATTTAAACAAAAATATTTTTCTTGAATACAAATACATGGTTGATTTGAATAGTGATTAAATCATACTTTGATATCTTTTTCAAACTAACGAGGGAATTTACTAGATAATCGAATAACGTGAATTACCACAACCAAAGTTAATAAATTATATGTTTTAAAAAAGAATTTATGTACAAAGATATCTACTTGCTGAATATGATTGTTTTTTTAGAATTATAAAAATAAATCGAGAACATTTTTTGAAAGATGTGTCTTGGATAAGTTATTCACAGTTTTCTAATAGTATACCTTACTTACAATTTATGTATTTATCTTTTTTCCCACACCCTTGTAATCCGTTGCTGATATTAGTGGAATAAATTATTGCTTTTTTCAAAAGCACTTGAATCAATCGCTAGCGTTCATTATGTTAATGTTTCGTAATAATTAGAAACTATCTGCCATATTCTGACAAAATAACAAGAAAAAAGAATTGAGTTCATGCTCAGTTTCTGAAAATGATGGTTAATAGTTCTTTTTCGAAGAATTATATTTTTTACCGAACCTTTAGTTTCAAAATTTCTTGATTAAAAAGCCAAGAAATCATACAAAATATTCTATTAATGTTAGTAATAAGAAAGTTTTTAATGTACTAAACTTTGATTTATTTTTTATTTGAAATTCATCTGTGTGGTTCGAAATAAGAGAGAAATATAGATTTTTCAAGTTGCAAAAACTTGTAAGAACTTCTTTTTTAAAGTGATTTGATTTTCATCTTTTACACATTGAGGGATTTTTTTCTGCAAAAATGTGTTTACTACAAAATTCATAGTTCAGACAAAGCTCTGTCCAATAAAAAATTAATTGGTTTAGAACTCAGCAATATGATCGATCTGGCTGAGTTTGACGTTTTTGCAAAGACTTACATCGCTTGTTACTTTGTCATGCAAGTGGATGTAGCTGAAACACACAACTGAAAAAACATGTATATCTTTAGTTTCGATTTACGTTATGAACAATAGAAACCAATAAAAAAAGGAAATATCTTCAGTCAAATCACCATCGAACTCTGTTGAAAAAGTCTTAAATACAAGTATAGAGTTGCCTATTTCTATTTCTCATATAGTAAAGATTGAATAAATAACTTGTAATTCATATCTAATGAAATAAAAATGTTCGAAGAAGCAACAAAATAAATTTAATTATTAAACGTTACAGTCTTCATAAAAGTCAGGTCCTATAGTGCATTGAATTTCTTCAACAATTTGCATTGTACATTTTGTTGAATAAATATCACCAAGAAGTTGTGCACGTACTAATCCAGATGCTGGTGTAAGACGATAACCTGTATCATTATCAATTCCAGGAAATGCCCATTCATTTCCATTTTGCTCTAATAAATTATTTAATTTACTTTGATCAATATCAGTTGTACAATTAGCTGGATCAATAATAACATGTGTAATAGCATCAAAATCAGGTTGTACACGTATTTGATGAAGAAGATAAAGATGAATATGTGTTTTTGTTTTTATAATTGAATTCGTTAGAAAATAACTTCTATAACGTAATGGTTGATAAGGTTCAACTTCTGATATATTTAATTGAACAACAGTTAATAATGGTTGAATTATATTTATTGTTACGTCACATAAATATGTTCCACCTTGTTCAAAATTTCCTTTATATAATTTTGTTCGAAATGATGTTAAATTACCATTAATTAAATTATTTAATGACCATTCTTCAGGTTGAATAGTCCACTGATTATATAATCGGGTTACATTTGTTGGTAATGGTACTGGATCCACTGTTGAGTTTGTAATTGTTGCAAGAAAAACAAGTTGAAAATCATGTGGTGTACGAAACATTGGTTTATGTGATATCCATACATAACCTGATTTATCCAATGGTAATAATATGAAACCATGAACTGAAACACGCCCATCAGGTTGTAATGGCGGTAATTCAGATGGCTTTGGATCAACAATAAAAGTATCATAATAAGCTTTGTGTCGATGATTAAAACCATCTTTCCATTGTTGTTGTAATTCATTATTAAGTTGATGTAATTGATCTAGTGACATATTTAATTGACGTTCTTTTGGTTGATATGTTGCACCTAATGGATAGTCAATTTTATTTTCTTGTGTCATTTCAATATGTGCACCAAGTATTGATGTTATATTAAGACGATTAAATTCAATAAAATTAACCAAACGTGATATTGATTCAACATTAGCAGAAAAATTTGATATATATAAACGTCCAGGTAATAATGAATCACCTGTTATCAATAAACCTGTTGCACAATCATAAAAAGCAATAGAAGAATTTTCATGACCAGGTATTGGTATAATGGCTAAATGACGTTGATTATCAAGTGCATATGTACCAATTGTATTTGGCCAATCATCTAATTGAAAAAATTGACTAACTTCAGCAACAGATGTACCAACAATTGTTGTAAAAAGTTTATCTTGAAATTGTGTATCACCAGCTGTATGATCTTGATGATTATGTGTATGTGCGACAACTAATTGAATATCTTTACGTTCTTTTTTATTAATAATACACCAATGAAGTATGATGGTTTCAACATGTTGTTGAATTGGCAAAGAAATAAGTGATACTGTTGCTCCACTATCAATTAATAATACAGTATCATTACCAAAAAGTAAATATATAAATGGAGCTTCATAGTTTATACATTTATTTTCACGTAGAATATACGTATCATTGTTAATAGGAAATATATCTAAATCAGGATGTTGAGCACCTTCATCAAAACAATTCATTGATCCATTTATCCAACTTGTTGGTAATGTTACTGGAAGGTAGCTAGATCTACCTCCAGGACAAACAAATTGATCATTTGGATTAGCTGAAATACTTACGATTACTACGAATAATAATACGAACATACGGTCTATTGTCAGATAGCAAATATGAGTCTAACAACATGAATACAAAGCTAATATATATGATTGTAGACAGCTGAATATATTCACATAAAAAATATCCTACTGAAGTATTGTTTTTTTCCTGATCTATGATATCTTAAATTTTGTTTAGTCAGAATAGTAAAGTCATTCAGTTTGTTGATATAGATAAAGGAAAATTTTGTTCGATAATATATTTATTGTATATAGATTTTGTATTTTGAAAATAGCATCAGATATTAAACTACTTATATGTTCGTTCCTTCGAAATTAAAAAATTTTTAAATTCAATACTACCGAATATGAAATATTTAAATGACATAATTTTAATAGATGATAATTGCTTGGTTAATTTAGTTTTTATTTATTTCAATGATAGCATGTTTAAGTAGAGTAGCTGAAATACATATTTTATGAAAGTTTTAAAAAGTTTTCTTAATAATAATTCAAATTATCGTTTCATGAAAATCAGAAGATGTTGCAATGGTAGATGTTCAAATAGTTCTACCAATTTAAAACGATTTGCTTCAAGTTCCATAATAGCTTGTCTAGCACTCATTTTATGTCGTGGATCACTAATTATTCGAGGATCTTCTTCTCGATATTCGACAAGAGCAAGTCGTCCATTCGATTTTAGAGCTCGTCGTAATCCTTCTAATAGAAGATCAGGTCTTGGAGTTTCATGATAAACATCAACTAATAAAATTAGGTCAAATGTTTCTGCAGGAAGACCTGTATCCATAGGCGTAGATAGAATAGGAATCACATTATTCGGAAGATCTGGTCTACTGAGTAATATGTCTAGCATTTGTGACTGTAAATCAGTAGCAAATACAAGACCTTGTTGTCCAACGCGATGAGCTAATTGTACTGTCAGAAATCCAGTTCCGGCTCCTATATCAGCTATTATCATACCATTTTGAATAGATAAAGCATCAAGTAGAAGTTGTGGTTGTTCTTGTAACCAACGTTCAAATCTCGACAAATGTGCCACATTTACTACATCACATGGTAATATTGGAGCAATCTCTCTACCCATATACACGTACATGTTTTTTATTCAAGGGTAATAGATATGCTTCATTGCATTCTGTTGATATTTTTACTTTCTGAGAGCTAATGATTTGATTATTTTTGTACAAAAAAAAACTACTGTCACTTGACACCGATTATTATCTCATATTTTATATAATTGCGAATATTTGTAATTGCATAAAAATAATTTATAAATTTTTCCGAAACAGAATTTCAATGCAAATCTATTATATTTCCAGAAAACTAAGAAAAAACAATTATTTATGAAGACTTTATCGCATTACGTTAAAAAACATTCAATCAAAGCTTAATCCATCTTTACTACACTAGATCCCTTTGTCGTACTGATTGGTTTTCCATGAACACTGAAAAAGTTCGTGTTGTAATTCATGATATTTTTCAATAAGTCAGCAACAAAACGTCTCAAGTAACATTCCTATAAGATTTTTTAAACCACTGGAAATGAGAGTAATCAACAACATGTTTCACGAATAAATGATTATAAATATTATTTTTGTCTTCAGTTTTATGAAATATTAGATATTTCAATTCACGTTTTTAATGAATACAATAGATTTTCTAACAGTTGCATTCTTGATCGAATCTTTTCGAATAATGACAAACAAAAAACATGATATCCTGGATGTTTAAATACAGCAATATCAATGAAAACCAATTTTTCTAAGGACAAATAATATATTTATAATTAAATTATGGAATTAAACTGTCTTAAACATATACAATTGTTTTCTATGATATTTCTGATTTGAAATAGGAAATAATCATATAATTCAAATAACATTTTTGATAGATTGAATAAGTAAATCACTGTTTTTGAGAGATTAAATAGTGTATGAAATATTCAATTTTTCCGAATAATTAAATTACGACTTTTATTTTATTATTCCGACGAACGTGATGAATGAGTCATTCTTATACGATTTATGTCTTGCTCCATATTATTATATATTTTCACTCATATTTTCTATTTATGGCAATAAAAAACATCATTTATATTCTGATTTGATGTGTAATTATTTTATTGTTATTTTTGATTGAAACCTGATTAGTCGTAAGAAAAAGAAAGTCATTATATTTGTTTCATACTCATTAAAAAAATCTAGTATATGAATTATAATAAAATATTTTTTGTTTTATTCAAGATTATAATGTATGAAAATAAATAAAAAAGAATTATAATTCTATATTATGCATATACATCATAATCAACTTGTACTAAAATTTAATTCTCATTGCTGTGATGACTAAAACAAACAGGCGTGCAAATAATGCAATATTGATTTCTCGTCAAGGAATAATTTTCATGTTTTGTTATTATAATTCACATCAATAATTTCCTTAAAAAAAAATCATTCTTTTGAAATATATTTTATCTAACAAATGATATAAACGATGTCAATTAAATGAAATTTATCAAAGTTAACATATCTCCTAAAATCATTTCTATCTATTTACCTTCTACAGTGATTCCAGAAGAGCTACTGATAAAATAATTTTATAAATAGAGTATTAGCCTGTCTAATATGCATCTGATCCACCAAGTGTTCATTTTGATTTTTTTCCTCAAGTACATTATTGAGTGGACAAAAAAAAAACCATCGACGCCATGTTATTGTAGTCATAGAAAAAAGAAAGAAGTAAACCTGATAAAAATTAATGTCAAAAGAATACACGTATCTTGGACATAACTTGTTAAATAAACATTTATTTTGTTTTGAGCCATTTTGTAATCTCTAAAGATATTTAATTCATAATATATATATTCTTTCAACTTTTCATGAGTTGAGGTTTATAATACATAGATTAACTTAGTTGGTGAGTGTCCTTCAGCTTGTCCAATAATGACTCCGCGTTCAATCATTTGTCGTAGTATGTAAAATTCGCTGAGTTATTGTGAAGCTTTCGAAACCTATCTAACTCACTAGTGAGATTCTTCATCGATTTATATCACACACAAACTTCAAAAGATCTCTATTGAACATAGATAGAGAATATTTCGTTTTGAAAAAATCTTTTTTTTCTTCAAAATATCGATTTTGTATATTCGATATTTCAAACATGAAATGACGAGAAAAATATTCTACTTACCAGTTAATATGGTATAGAGTTCACTAGAAAAAAAAATGCTGTTTGCGTTTTCAAATCTCATGTTTTCTTTATTTTCTGCAATCGTTCTACAAAATGGTCACTGGAGTGATCAACAAGGAGCAAAGAGCTTTCTTACAATATCTAATAATATTTTATCTTGATCTCGGTTAAGATAAAATGTTCGGATTCTCACATCCATATCACACGTCACACTCATTCTACATTTCAATATATCGTCTTGATATTTTTATTTAAAAGAAAATTTACATTTCGAAATTTTCAATAAATTAGACAAAGATTGTTGATAGCACGTCTTTAACATTAGTATTCTATGGATAATATTTTTAAACTTCAACAATCATAAAAGGCACGAATTTCATCAATATCTGTTCCACTAAGTTTTTCTCTTTGACCAATTCTTACATTTGTTTGTTTTGGTATAATAGTTGGTTGTCCATTTGAACTAAAAGCAGTAGCACCATAGTGCATTATACTGGCAAAATCATAGGGTGAATTTTGATCTAAAACAGTGACTCCCCAAGTATATTTGTTAAAGTTATGTTCCTATAATAATAAGATTGTGTTATCTGTTAGTTCTTTGCCGTGAAAACTTACTTTGCCTGATTGAATATTGGGATGATTGATCGTAATATATGAATCACGATCAGGACGCGATTGTTCATGACGAAAACCTATTTATTTATAACAGCAAAAAAAAAATAAATTAATCTAAAATATTCACATTAATTTAAAATCACTAAAACTATTTTAGTTGATCTTGTTTAAAATTGAACAAATCTTTTTTTCGTACATCTATTTTGTTCTTAAAAAAATTTCTATTATGCTTACCAAGAACATGTATGAGTTCATGTTGAATAGTACCAGAACGAAAACAACCAGGATTGGCTAATGTTAACTTTTTTTCACCAGTAGAATATCCTACCTAAAGAGATGAGAATAAAAAGACATCGACTTGCAAAGTTGATTTAAATATTATTTTACTGTTGCACTACAACCAGTTCCATACTGAATTTTAAGAAAAGCTTGATCATTTGATGTTTTTGGTCGAAAAGTAATACATTGTTTGCGTGCTGTTGATCCTGCAATGGGTACGCTGGTAGTGTTCATCAGTATATTGATTGCTTCTTCAATCATAGTACGATGTGCAGCATCTACAAATTGACATGCATTTTTTTTGTTCTTATAATTTTTAATGATCCATCTTACTTGTAATTAACGAAATATCGTATGGAATGATATTGTTTGGCCAACGACGAGGTCCATAAATAGCTACACCTTTTCCATTTGATGGAATTGTTGGATCAAATCCGTCTGTTAAAATCATATCACCTTCGAATCCACCACCTAAGAGAAATACCATATACTTAAAGGAATAATCAATATTCATTTTTACCAAGTAATTCATAATTGATGTTATTGTCAGCAGGACTGAAGACAGGTATATTGAATGTAGATCGAATAAAAAAAGTGAAGATGACACAGGTATATACGAACATATTCGAATATTTTCAGACAGTATTTTATACGGTTGTTTTGTATGTTTTTATATCAATGGTTTATTGTTGTTCCATTGATAACAAAAAAACAAATGTCAACCTACATTAGCGTGAGAAATTGTCCAACTGACTCGTATATAGAAGTCAAACAAGATCCGGTGGTATGAAGAAGTTTTTCACTCATATTTTCAATAGTATTTGTGAAGAGAAATGTTAAATCTTCCATTCATTCTATTTTATTTATATTTTAAACGGTTAATTAAGGCGTTAATTTAAAATAATTTTATTTCAATTCTTTCACAAACATAATGTGGAAGACTCAGAATTATAAGCGAAGAATGATGAATATCTAGCTAAGCGAACATAATGAGTTATTTACTTATGTTTTCTTTTTACTTTATATGGAAACTTTACGAGATACACAGGCAAGATTATGTAAAGTACGACGATATGTATCATAGTATATAAACTCGAGACGAATACTGATAGAGATAAAAATTTAAAAAAAAAACAATCCTGTGAATAAAAACTGGATCTAGTGTTTTACGGTTGTCTTCGATACATTCTGCGCTTATTTTATGATCATCAAAATACTAATTTCTCCTTGATGGCAATTTCAGAAAAGCTACTGATAAAATAACCAAATAAGTAGAGTATTAGTCTCAAATATTTTCACTGTTTGACTAATATGATAAAAGAAAAGAAGGTATGCAAAAATATGCTTATAACAGCATATGCACTATAGACATGAAATTTTTTAATAACTCTTCTTTAGCCATCAAGTAATAATATAATGGATGACGGCATTAGGTCTACAGTTTCTCGATTGTCATTGGAGGATCCATTCAATTCTTTAGCATCTCTTGTGTACCAAGCTATTGAGAAACTTGTGAAACACATTTGATAAACTAATAACCATTTTTGTCAATATATATATATATATATCATACAACACATCTCTGATGTTATTGCCTGCAAGTAGAAAAGACTTCGACGGAAAATTCTACTTTTCCGCTCTTATCGATTCTGTACACCATGATTTTCAAAGGTAGAGTAATACGACAAAATGATTTTTTTTAGTAACCGATAGTTCATTAAGTACTCTACAACCGCTATAGATTCAGTTGTTGATCACATGTTTCAATTTTTTTCAATGATGCTTTTACTTGTGTTCACGCCAGTGGGCATTCAGTAGTAAAGGGTTAAATTTCAATTTTTCACTGTACAGGATAGTTCTTTCAAAAACATGAATTAACGAAATAAAATTGTTTGTTTTCCTTACGAAGTTGCTGGTGTTCGAATCATGACAGCATCGTGTATTCAAATGATAAGTTCTAAACTTAAAAACAACACTCATATATAATGATGCTACAAAATGAGCTGTTACAACAAGTTGTTATCGTGCCTTGAGAAGCAGTATAAGCAACTATTTCTTGAGCACTTTTGCCTGTTAGCTCATAAAATATTTGATGTTGATTCTCGTCTAGATCTATTCATGACATATTCGTTTGATTAGAATAAATTATTAAAAATAGTAAGCCAAACAACTTAGAATGTTATTATATGATCAATTATGTTTTCGCTACAGTTCATGAATCGAATTCGGAAAAAGAAATGAATACACTTGTCATTTTAAGCGTGTACCTCTTCTTTTACTTGGACTATATGGTTTGAATAGCGAGAAGAAAATATGATATACCTATGATGTAATTCTCTAACACTGATTTACACCTATGTTAACTATATGTGAATAATTCAAATAAATTAAGATACAAATGATCGTAAATGTAACATTCGTCGACACGGTTTAAAGCTTTATGAATAATTCTCTATATCAAACCAAAATGACATACGGAGTTTTGTATTGCATTTATCAAAAAGCTTTCTACTTCTCAGATTCTTAAAGTCTAGATTATAATATCTTGATTTAAAAATAAAGCTGTCATGATAAATAAAAAAAAAAATAAAAGATTTATTAAATAATTCTAAAGTCATTTCAGTTAGCCAACAATAGGTGTTTTAATGACGAATGTTCGAGTCGGATCAACGATAATACGAACACGATCCATGCGCAAATCCCTAGTCATAGGATCATTAGGTCTCAAAATAACAGGTTTCAAACCTAGCATAAAATTGTAAAGAAAATACATGATAATATAGAAAAATTTATGGAGAAAAAAAATGTACCTTGAGCAGCAATGTAAGCAGCTGCTTGTTGTGCGTTTCGACCGACTAACTCTGGAAACGATCGTCGTTGATTATTAATTGTTGTAAACATAATATTTTCTCCCTAAATGCACGTAATCGAATATGAATCCAATGACAATCGAACAAATAAATAGTAATATATCACATGGGGTTTATTTACTATTGTTTGTTGCAAAAACAAATGAGTATACAAAAAACCACTGAGGTGTGATCAATAGTCGACTGCTTGATAAAATGTCAACTTTTGCAATCTAACAAATAATAAAAAGTTGAGTTCAGTTACGAAATTTAATTCACAAATATGGAGTTTGGTAAATAGTTTATTTCAATTGATAATAATAACTGCTTACGGATATTTGTTTGAAACTGTACAAATATTCAATTATTGTTTATCAAGCATCGGTACTCAGCGATCAAGGTTATCTAATAAAACATAATTTAAAACCGTTCTGTGGTTCCTTTTTTTCGAAAGCAACATCATGAAATATAATGACTTAGTAAAACTATGTTTGTCTTGTGCTTGTCACTCACATGAACTCGAATATTCATATAGGACAGTTTAGAATTATTAATAAGAACACAAGAACAATGACCTATCTCCATCATGTATTATTAGACAATTATGTAATAACAATTTTTACAAAGTATTAGAGTGTTTGTTTGTCACTATCTAACTCTGACTTTGATATTAACAAAATAATGAAAAAAACGAAAATGTCTTAGTATAATCACTTTATCAAAATATTGTTATTTATATTTCTGTAGGTAAAAAAAGTTAGTTCTTTTTCAATGCATTAATTAAGAACTGAAGAAAAAAAAATCACAGATGAATAATCATTTGCGCACTGTCATATTCCTTTAGTTAGGCTTAATATAATCAATCCAACTGGTTCTAAGAATCTATAAACGAAATTTTTATGTCTAGAAATGTAAAATGAATATAAACGATGATGATGAGCATAGTTTTATTTAGACCAAAAGAAAAAAGATTTAGTTTATTGAATAATAAAAGTTTTTAAGTTAACCAATCATAGGTGTTCGTAGAACTATACGTCCTGATAGATCTGTAACAATGCGAACACGATCTGGGCGATAGTCCATTGTCAATGGTTGATTGGGTTTAACAAGAACTGGCGTCAAACCTTGAATATAAATATAAAGAGTCGATTTCAAATGAATAAAATATCCATATAAAAAGGACAATACCTCGAGCAGCAATATAATGAGATGCTTCATGAGCACTTCGACCAACTAGTTCAGGAAATGAACTTTTGTGGTTTCGAGTTCGAGTCCGATGAAGCATCATGTTTTCTGTGTTTAGTTAAGTTAAAATATACAAAATATAACGAATATGAATAATATTTAAATGGGACAGGTTACTGATGCATAACAATTATTTTGTCACAGTTGATTGATCACATCGGATTTATCTTTATCTTCATTATTCGATTCACAGTGGATTATGTTTAGACATATTAACTACGCAGATCGATAGAAATTTAGACAAAAAAATCATTTAATCAAAAGTATGCTTGGTGTTCACCAAAGTTTAATATAAATATGCTTGAATTCAAAATCCTTTGTGGTATATTTTTGTTTTTATTTGTAACTTTGCTTTGTACTATGGATCGTTACGAGCAGATTAAAATAAGCAAACTAACAAGGAATATATTGCAGAAAATTGTGCATTAAAATTACTTACTTAGGTTATAATGGAAACAAAATCGTCTTATGTTTTAAAAAATAACACTTTCATTCATCTTGTTTTGAAGAAAATGCTCAATTTCTCTAAATGCATCTATTTCCTCTTGACAAAGCTTTTAATCTTGCAGAACGACAAAAATACAGGTTTCTCTTAGTTTAAAGATGATCAAAATTTATCGAAAAAAATGTGATGTCGAAAGAGATCATTTATACTTTCTAATAAATTGGCACATTCTACAAATTGATAAAGAAGTCAAATTAGAGATACAAATGAAAAGTAGAGAAAAATCAGTTTGTACTTTATGGCAAATATCAAAAACTAGGACTTTGACACCGATGGAATTCATATTTTGAGAGTAGCTTAAGATGGTAGTGGAGGTTATTTAAAGGATCAAACAAAAAAGTAATTGTAATCAGTTAACAAGAGATGGAATTATTCAGAGTTAACATTTCATTTTCATGTTTTATTGATAATAATAATTTGATAATAGAATGTAGCAATAATAACAACACCTTGTAATTTCATGTTTTCGAGTCTCACTGTCGAAACAGATGTTGAATGGGCTCATAACACTGATTCTATTCATGGTGGAGCTATAGATAGAGTTTCTGATTGATGAGACCAACAGATAATTATGATATCTTGTTCTTCATTCATTTAATGTGTCTTTTTGGCTATCAATGTGGCTCTTCTCTTCATTCAAACTCATACTCTACAACAACACTCACATTCACTTCTTAAATATGGCTCAAATAATGGATTCATCTAATGAAACCAATATGGAATCATTTGAAACTGCCGGTCTATAGATAGAAAGTCATGTGACATAAAATGGCAGGTCTAAGATTATTTTTTTATGTGAAACGATTCGATAGAGACTGAGGCAATTATGATCATAAAACGTGTTTAGAAGCTCATTAGAGGTAGCATCAGCCTGTTTTTTTTAACCTTTTCTAGTGAGAAAAATCGATAAAGTTTTGTGAAATCATGCACATGAAAAATATTGGGACTCTAGACACTTATTAAAAGCCAATATCATTCTTCAACGACATCTATCGTTCATCATGAAAATTGTCGAAGTGTTGCTGTCATATTTTGCTTGCCAACATGTTAGTTGATGGCTGATTAACATCTATCAAATAATCTATAAAACCAAAGCAAATAAATAATTAGATTAGAATGAATAACGACATAAGTGAAAAAGAAAGTCAGATTGAATCAAAAATTGAATATGATATTTTAGAAATTGTGGTAAGGCCTTTTGAAGTCATTTTCTACTGCACAGGAGCAAGTTTTTTTTTTTTTACTTTTTAGCGTGCATTTCAAGAATCTAATCCATCAGAATCTTTAATTATTCTTCAAGCATTTCTTCATCTAATTAATCACCATGAATATTCTAATGATTTTATTCAATATCAGTTAGATCTTCTTAAACGTTTGTCTTCATCATTACCATCATCCATTTCATCCCTTTTTGAACTTCTTAAACAATTTATACCAATGTCAGAATTAATTTTATCATTCAACACAATTCGACAATCAATTGTTGAATCATTTATTAATCAATTTCGTAAAGATACTCAAAAACAAAAATGGGGTGGTAATGGAGAAAAAATTTATTTATTAGGATGTTTATTGGAACGATCCTTAAACTTATATTATAGTAATGAAAATTTAATAAAAAATACAAATAATATATGGAATTCAATTGTTATTCATCTATATGAACCATTAATTGATGAATTAAATGAATATTTAAAAAATAAATTCGATAAACAACAACAATGTTCATCATTAAGTTATCTTATTAAACCATTAGGTAAACTTTGTGAACAATTAAATAAAATTGATGAGAAAAAAGTAGGAGATAATTTTTCATTAAAATAAAAAGAAAAAAAAAAGCATTTTATTATCAATTAGGATTGTATGATAATTAATGAATATTTTTCGGATATTATTCTTGCTGTTCTTCATCAACGGATTGGTAAAATTTATTAAATATTTGTTGAATTAATTTTAAATTTTAAATTATAGATTTGTTATTAAATAAAAAAATTTTTGATCAATTTGATTCATTCGATAAACTAGAAGAATATAAATGTTTAAGAAGAAATTCGGTGTTTTTTGTTTATCCTGTAAGCCAATCATAAATATTCAGGATATTAATAAAGTATAAATATATATATACATATATGTATTTTTTTTTCTTTTAGGAAATACGAAAACTACTTCTACTGTTTGATGATGCAAGAATATCCAAACATTCGCCTAATTTAATAAAAAAATGTAATGAAAAACTTGAACAAATACTTGAAAAAGCTTCTAATGTAAATAATTTCTAGTTAATTATATATTTTTCTATGAATAAAATTTATTATTTAGATTTTTCATAATTATCCTTCGTCAATATCTCTTGAACATTGTATTTGTTTAATATCATGTTTATCAAGTATTGATATATTATTTTATTATGATCAATTTCAATATTTTTTATATAATTTCTGTCAATTTATTTTAACTTATTGGCAAATAAATATATTACATGATTGTGATGCAAATGATTGGTTAAATACAAAATCCTATTTTGAAAATACACGTTATTCAGTTTATATTGATACAATATTTTATCATTTTAATCGGTTTCATTTATATATAAAACGGTATTGTCCAAGTTTACTTTCAATCATTATTCCATATATGTTACTTGAATTAATGAATTTTATTTATCATCGTTATGCATCAATTAAAATATCATATGCTAGACAAAGTCAATATAAATCTGATCTTGTTGCATTGCTTGTACATGCAAGTCAATTTACTCATTATTTTATTAATAAAAAAAATTCAATAAACCAATATTTAGTATTTAACAATGATAATATTGAGTATATATTGTTGAGATTTTGTTACTCTATCTTATTAATTAAAGATTTTGTTTTCTTTTAGATCAAAATTTTTCGAATATGGTAATAGAATTTTAGCAGCTGTCGTACTTGTCACATGTCCATGTGATCTTTTATATGAACAATTACAAAATATTACTCATCAATCGACAAAAGTATTACCGAAACTTAATTGGTTATCTATTATTCGACCTGATTGGTTTGATATAAACAATGAAGTACGATCGCAAGTTCAAACATTTTTAACTATAGAAAATATTATTCAAACACAACAAAATAATTTTCCGATTGAGAAACTAGTAACCATCGTTGTTGAAAATTCTGAATTAGGTTCATACCGACCAGCAATGATCCATCTAATTATGCAATATGAACAATGGGAATTGATTAATCTATTAGTTAAATATGAGCATGATTGGTCATTTTTACATAATCAATCAACTCAAGTAAAGATATATAAACTTTCACAAAAAGAGATATTTATTGTTTTTGACTTATATATTTTTAGTTACCTGAATGGTTGTCTATCATGATGGAATATTCGAACGAATTTTTTGCTAAGTATATGAAAATATTTAATCCTAAACAAAAGATAAATAAAAGTTTTATTTTTCACAGATGTTGTTCTATATGTGCAGATGAAAAAGAAATTGAATGGCGATTGAAAATTCAACAAAAGATTGGTTTTGAACGTAAGAAATCCAATAACGAATATATACATATTTTATTATTCATAGTTTTTAATTTTTGTTCAAGAACAATACGATGAAAAATTAAATTATTTAAAATTACTTCAACAATATATTGCAAATATTCCTTTATATCTTTATCATTTACTTCGTGCAATAAATCAAAATCAACCTCAATTCAATAAACGATTCGTATGTCTTATGTCTTTATTTTAAAAAACAAAAGATAAATTTGTATGGATTTCTAATTATTTTAGATTTTTGCTCGTTTACTTTACAATTATATGATCGATCATAAAATAAAACGTGCTCCTATTTATTATTCATTTTTAACAGGTAAACAAAAAAAATTATTATTAAATATCAAAACGTTTTAAAAGTTCGCCTTATTTTTTTAATGATGATGCTAAAGCATTTATTTCATCATTGTATATTTTCCCAAATAGCAATTGATGTATCATTTTGTAATGAACCACTAATAACATATGTATCTAACATTGAACATAAACAACAAACACCATCACTATGTCCAGCAAATGTTTTATGTAATTCATAATTATCCATACGAAATACAAAAACATTTCCATGTAATGATCCAGCCCATATATGATCTTGAAAACCTAACATTGTTATAAGACAATCATCATCAACAGGTTTTTTCATTAATAAATTATATGAATGTTCATCATTTGTATTATTGACATTAAATACATAAATAATACAACCAGATGATACCCATAATTGTTTGTTATAAATAATAAATGAATCAACTGGTGTTGAATCACCTGTTTTATATTTAACTGATATTAAATGTTCAAATGTATAAGTTTTTGAATCAGATATACGTAATATAAGTATATAATCATAGCGAAAACAAGCAAATAGAAGATCATCGTAAATTTGTATACGTTCAAGTTTATCTGTTATTGATGGGATAATTAGAGCTGGTCCACTAGGTAATGGTATATCTATAAATATAGAAGAATGTTACATTAAAAAGAATTCTATTTTAATATAAGGATAAAATCAGTGAAAACAGAATATGATCATCTTCGAATTAACTTAGATTATTTATAGGAGTTATTTTTTCTTTTGAACAACTTCTTTTCTTATGAATGCATGTCAAAATATTGATTTTGTCAACTTACAATTAATTAAACTTAATAAGTTAACAACAGACGACGTACCACAAAGTCAGCCCTTTTTGTGTCATATTGCTAATGTTAGTTTTTCAATAATAACTCGGTAGAACTAAGATCTATAGAACTGCATTGTTTAGAGTATCTAGAGTAACTCAGCATATATCTATTACATAAAAATTACTTAAAAGAAATGCTCGAGTCTAAAGATATAAGCATGTTTATTTTTCAAAATCATGTTGCCAACGAATAAAATTACTCATATATATTCTTACTTGGAATATCAAATGGTTTTGTAGATTCTTTTGAATCGGCATTAAGTTTTTGTTTTCGATTTTGGTTCGGTACAGTCTTTGATGATTGTGTTGTATTACGAAATGTAACTACTGCTTCACTTTTAAATGTTTGTTGTTGACTATTTTGAGTTGTTTTATATATTTCGTATAAATTAAAATCATTTAAACGTTCCCAATTTGATGCATTCCAAACAGTAACTGAACCAGTTCGATTAGCAGCTATAATATAATTATGTATTCCATCAAATGCTATTGTTTGACATCCACCTTCACCATCAATCGATGTTATTTGTGATCCGCGAACATGTGTTATTGTATCAACAACAAATACTTGACCATGAATACAACCTACCCAAAGTTTATCACGTGTATCAAGACACATACATGTTATTAATGATGGAAATGATATATCAACTCGATCACATATCCATGTTGTTACATTATATACTTTAATTTTTGAACCATATGCACACCAAAGTGATGAACGTCCATTATCACGATGTTCAGTAAATATAAGACAACGTACAGCATGACGTTCAGTTTCATTTATTGATGGTGATAAACGATGAGTAAGAACATTTCGTGTTTCATCAGATAATGATTTAAATGAACCATCTTGACGCATTCGTGTAAATGTTGATAAATCACTTAAAGCCATTTCAAGACTTGCCTATGAGCACAAAAGAAAGAGAAAAAGAAGTTGAATTTAATTCAAATTATTTCTTGAGCTAATTGAAAAAAATCGATGATCAATTCGATATTTTCTTTAATAAAGCATGGGAAAAAAATTGTTAGCGTAATCACTACAGAATTAAAATGTGAAATATGATGTACTAGCTGCTGTTGTTCGAAATAAGAGGATTGTTGTATTCTATCTATTTTAAGACTATTGTCTTTCATCATCGTTTCATTGAAACCTTGAGAAATGCAATAAGAAAGTAGTTCATTTTTTATAACAAGATGTTATTGATATACAGTTCTTGATTGTACATCAACAACGTTTGTCAAAGGCTAAGCATACAGTCACATTGTTGCGCTGCCAAGGGAACTATCGCAAGTGATACTCACTCTTTGAGTTCATATTAGAACTAAACGGGTTCGTCTTCATTGATTTTCAGCACCGAGTGATGACCAATTTATTGGATTTCTAACCAATTTTTAGGTACTCTTTGGAAGACCAAACCACGGAGATTTGATTCAAAATTTTACCTTTAGTTAGATCTGATGACTTCTAGAATATTCTACAACAACTAAGTTCATTTTAAAATTCAATCACTCGATGTAGAAACATTCTTTTCGATTGAAACGTTAAAGATATTCCAAGAATCATTAGATCTATCTATAAGTTAAATTTTAAATCGAAAATTGGTTATAAGACTTTTGAGAAACTACCTACAAATGAATTGAACATCTACTAAACTGATTATAATGTGATGACAAAGGCACATTAGTACGAACTATTTTAGATTTTAGCTCGTCCCACAGGTGTGCCTGTGGATTCAATATGAACTTAAATAGCACTTGCCAATTGAGTTAGTACCCTCGTAAAGCGTACTTGAACACTCGTTTTAGATCGTGTTTCACAAAATAGTTATAATTATAGAACCTTCATTGAACTTTCATTATTTCAAAATAAAATAAGAAGAATAAGAGACGTAATTACTTCATTATGACGTTGTTTCAGTTTTTCACGAGAATCTGTTGATTGTTTACCAACAGGTGACACTGCTTCTTCTTCATAATCAATATTAGATAGTGTATCCATAAGTGCAATATGTCTTGAAGCTTTATTAAGTACAGCTGTATCACATTGTTCATGTGCAATTGTTAAACCTGACCATAATTCAATAATAATTATATACCATAATTCTTGTTCATGATTATTTTTAAAAATTAATCTAATCACTGATTTAGATTCTTTTTCTAATGATGAAGTTTTAGATTTTAATGTTAAATTACTATCACATGGTAATGGTGATGTTGTTGATAAAGTTTGAATTTTAATACTCGGTTTTGATGATGAAAAAGCTGTTTGATATTGATATTTATCAACAGATTTGATATTCATAAGTTCAGTAAGAAGACGTGCAAATGAACGTGTTTCAGGCAAGAAATAAAGTCGCTTTTGTGTTAGAATTAATTGTCCTGGACCATCTGCTTTCGATACAATATCCGATGATGAAACCTAAAAAGGAGACTTTTTTGTTTGGCTAATGTGTCATCTAAATATTTGAAAATTTTACTTTTAAAATTGATTCTTTAGTTTGTCGATCTTCGGGTAAATAACGATTCATTCGAACTTTTTCAGCATTTGTCTGTTGCCAAATATCAAGAAATGATTCAAATAATGTTGTAGGTAAACATGCATTAGATTCTATTGATGATTTAGTTGGAGATGTTGCATTTTGCTGTCCTCGTCGATGATCACTAAGCATAGCCAATGTATCTTTTAAGCTACTTGTTGGTATTGCTAAATGTCTAGCTAACGGTTTCGTTGTTTCAGAAGATTTACTTGTATTATTTATTAATGTTTTGTCTTTTTTCAATGTTTTTGTTATTGAATTATCTGTCCAATATAATAAAACATTGAATAATTTTTCTGTTGTTTCTTTATCTAATACAATACGTAAACGATGTACATATTCACTAAATTGTTCTAATGTAAGATTATTTTCTAATAGATTCAATTCATTATTAAGATCAACTTCAGTTGCTGATTGTATAGGAGTTGCATCCTCTAATGAATTTCCACTTTTTTCAAGATCAATTATTGTCATATTCTGAGATGTTGAATGTATATTAATTTTTTTCCATTCAGGAGATTTTGTATAATATGGTTCATTAAGAAATAATTCAAGTAAACATTCATCAACAAGACGAGGAAGAATGGTTGTTTCAATATAATCATATGGAAATAGATTTGGATTTTCAATTAAATAAAGATCATGAAGACCATCAATGTATTGACCACGAGCTAACAATGCACAACCACGTAGATAAGCATAAACGGATATTACAGCTGGTGAATGTTGTTTTTGTGCATTTTGTAATTCACTAGTAAATATTTCGATACAACTATCTAAATAATGTGTTGATATATTTGAAGACCAATTTGGTAATGGTAATAACATTTGAGAAGACATTGAGTCATATAATGTATTTGTTGATTCAACCTAAATATAAAACCAAAAAATTAAATAAAATGAACACTTCTATTGAATTTTAATTCTTTTACTTGATTGTATTCATGTCCATCTGATGATATACTGTTAACATGATAAAGTTGATTTTCATTTGATAATGAATGTAATTCACATATTTGTCTAAATAAAGTTGCTGATGTTGATGTCATTTCTTTTTCCATAAGAAGTTGAAATGCTGTACTTTCACTAAATGCTCGATAAAATTCTAATTCAACACCTTCAGTTTTAGAAAGTAAATATTTTTCTTTACTAAATGTTGTTTTAGTTTGACTTGGAGTAGAATTTTTTCCATCACCATTTGATGTTCTTGTTAATGTATTTGTTGGACTTATTTGTTGAGGATTTACTTTCCAATAAATTGGTTTTAATGTATCACCACATATATCAACCATTAAATCAAGAAATATTTTCATAAGTTTATGATTTGTTGTAACACGTTGTTGACGTTCATATTCACGTTGTTGATCAATACGTAAACGAATTGGTGTACGAACATTTTGTAATGAACGTGATACTTTAATATTTTCAAGAAATTCTGTTATTCGATTAACAAAACGTTGAATTTTACTTGGTGGTAAATGATGAAAATCAATCTTTTTTGGTATATGTATATTTTTATCATTATCTAAATTACATGTAAAACTTATATCAAGATCTTCAACAATAGATTGATGACGTGAATGTGCACCCATTATATATGAACCAGGTGGATCTTCAAGATAGTAATCACGTAAATCATCAGGTACAAATGGTACATAAACATGAACCCATTTTAATGGATATATTAAATAGAGAAGACATTCAAGTGTTGCAACTAATGTTGAATAATTTGAACTAAAAAAAATAATTGGTTGTTGTGTAAATATTACTGCTAATACATCAAGTAATTTGCCAATATTAATTGTTAAAGGAAGAATTGATAAATCTAAATCGAGTACTGTTTGATTTGTATCTATGGGTGGATCAAATCTTAATACAGATTGTTCATGTGTTAAATTAAATGAAAGTGAAAAACGTTCCCATGGTATGGGTGGTATTGGTGTATTACAAGCAAGAAACGCATATTTTTGTATGATTTGTTTATATAGATTTGAACTTGGTTCAGTTTTTGAACGAATAATTTCATCATGAATAATTGAAATTGTTTCTTGCATAGCAGTCCAATATGGTTGATTAGAAACAAGAACAATACAATGTGGTAAATAGAATGGTTTTGTTATATCAGATGATGTTGAAGATGATGATGCTGTAGTCGTTGATAATGTTCGAGATGTATTTGAACTTGAACGTCTTCGTACTTCAGTAGTAGTAGTAGTAGTAGTACTACTTGTAGCATCATTTAAGGATACTAAACTACTTTGACTATTCGTACGTACCATACGAGTAGGTGGAGGTGTAGCTGTTGATGATAAACTAAAATGAAATAAATTTAAAAACAAAATATGAAAGCAAAAAAAAGGAAAAATTCGACAACAGACTTTTTCATATAACTACTAATGGTATGTGTTTCATAATGATGTTGTTGTTTAGTCAAATCAGTAGAACTAGATGACGGTCGTATTTGACTAGTAGAATTTGGATCAGAATAATGAAATGATGAAGGCATTTTTTTTGAACGTGTCTTAGTTGCTGATGTTGATGGTGATGATGGTGATGTTGGTGATGAAGATGGTGAAGCTAGTTTTTGTCTATCAATGGCGACGGGAATTTTTGATACACTTGGACGTCTTGGATTTGATGTTGATAATTTAACATCATCAACTTGATATATACCATCATCATCAGGTTTATTTGTTTTAAGACTAAATGATTGTTGAAATGTAAGTGCCAGAGCATAAATTCGTTTTCCCTCTTCTTGTGTAAATACAATTTGATGAATTTTTTCATTTTCTCGTTGATGTGTAGCTCGAACACCATCAGGAAAACAGAAAAGTGGTAAATTATTAAATCTAGCTGGTACCATATGTTGTTTTTGAGTTCTTATACCGGTAGCTAAAGAAGAAACAGGTGATGAACGATCTGAACTAGTTGATCGTGCTGAAAAGGAGCGTGATCTTGGGTAACCTATTGGTGGATAAGATGGATCGATAAATTCACTACCGCGCGATTGTGGATACATAGCACGATCAGCCGTAATAATAGCCAATACAGATGATTGTAAATTAGATGTAAAAAAAGATCCATTGTCTTTAGATTCTGGATCAAGTTTAAGACCACGTTCTGAAGTAAAACCGACACAAGCAATGGAGTCGACAAAAGAATTTAATAGGGGCATGTTTCACTTAAAACACCTTCCGATAGAAATAATATGCAAGAAGTGCGCAATATACCAACACAAGATTGTTATCAGTGTTAGCAACTTTATTTGCTTTGACAGGCCGAAAATACTAAATATCTTTTGAGTTTCTTATCTAATGTTTTTTTTCTCTATACTTCGTCATCATAGGTCACGAGAAGGACAATCATCACAATATTGAACGTCTTCTTGATCGAAAGTAAGATAATGTGGTTTTGTTAATATGTATATTTATATATATTAGTTAACTTTATTATAGATCATCACTTTTCCGTTTTCTACATGATCAACTTGATAACGAACAAACAAGTTTGTAACCATTTTGCTTTATCTATATGTTTTTATTTTTTTTCTACTTGCATGATTCATAGGTTCACAAGGCGTATATAATATAGTTGAAATTCTTAATGAAAATTTCGAAAAGATTCGTTTACGTCTCAATATTAAAACTTTAGATGAATATTATAATATATCTCAATCATATTCTCAACTATTTACACAACAACAACAGTTTGCACAATCAACTGAAACTTTAAATATAAAATCAACAAATGATGATCGTGCATTTACTGATCTTAATCTTCGTGTATCAAAACGTAGTCTTCATACAACAATGCAAACATTCAAAATTGATTATGTATGTTTATACGATTTTGTACATAACTATACGTTATTTTTATCATAATTTTAGTCCTTAGTGAATCGTACAGAACTTAATTGGCCAATATTATTTACACATATTATTGTTCGATTAAAACCAAGTATTATTTATCATTTAGTTACATTAAGATTTGAATTTCAATCAAATTCATCATCATCATTGAACGATACAGAACGATTAGCTGTTGGAAAATTAATTCAATTGTTAGCTTCGTTTTTTAATGAAAAACAATGATTACTATATCTAAACGATAGATTTTATAATAACAGATACTAAATATATTTTTTTTTGTATTTTCAAACAAAAACTGTTGAGAGTGTATGTGCAAAAATAAATAGAGAGGTCTTTTTCGTTGTGATTGAAAATTGTTGAATGTCTTGATAGAAAACAATTCATATTCTAAATAATTGAAGGAACTATAATTGGAAAGATACGTTTTTAAAAAAATAGTATGTTAATATTTAGTGTATCTCTTGTGCTGATTTATTTGTTTTATATTTCAGACTATCAACTACTTTTATTACTTTTAAAAATTTAAATAAGAAATAATAATCAACCGGTATCAAATTTGTCAAATAGACTTTTCAATTCTTCATGTATGTGTTAGTAATTGTGATATGTTATGCAGTTTTTGTAATTATTACAACTTGTATGTACGATTATATCGACTGATGTAGTCATCTAGTGTAGATGGGTACGTTAGGGATAGAACCGATCTGGATTTTTCACTAGTGGTACTAGTGCTCGTCTGATGATACCAGATCGACGGGTCGTTCTTTTCAACAAAGTTTCATTACGCACCGTCTATGAGATTGTAAGAGCAAAAATAAATAAGACATATCGATAATGACCTTTCTACTAACAAACCAGCCAGTAACTAGGACTGGTTTCATTTCTGATATGTGTTATTTTTATTGAATATTGCTTTGAAAGTTACTTCAATGGGAGGACTTCAAGTATAAATTGGCCGTACAAAGATTCAAATTTTCTATCACTAAATGCTCAAATATAGTCAGTATAAGTTGTTGCATCTTCTATTTAACTGACTGACATGTACAAGCATGTTTTCTTTGTAATCTTTTTCTTCTTTTCTTTTAAAAACAATCCTTATGTTTAGTGCTTTGTTATTTTAATTAAATAAATAAAAGGATAATTTAACGAACTCTGTCGGTACAAGTAAAGAATTAAGATAGATCAACTGATAAGTCATTAGTACAATTATATCTCGACTTCAGTCAAATCACTTGAGGTTTCATAAGTAGGTTTTTTTAGTTGAATATCTGACCTGCCTATTAGATTTGAAAATACTGATTTGATCACAGGTTCTTCATGCATGCTCATTTTTTCGAAATCACTTGATACAGAACTAGTTTTATCTTTGAAATGCAAATTTCTGTTATCTAGTTCGTTCAATTTTTCATTAGTAGTAGTTGTTTGTTGACTTTGTATTTTTTGTGTATCGATCAATGTTTCTAGATCAACGGTTTCTTGTTGTATTAATAAGTCTTCAGACTTTGACGACGTTGAAGTACAAATACTTTTATAACATGGAAAGGATTCATCTGAACCACTGAACTTATCATTTAAACATGATTGTCGATGTGTATTAGAGTGTTTTGGTCTGGTGAATATAAATCCAGCCAAAGTTTCTTGACGTATTATTGTCTTTTCTGTATTAGTTGATGATGATGAATTGCTATGATTATCAAAATGAGTATATGACCAATGTGATTCACTCAGCGTTTCATTAGGATCAAAGTCTTCTGAAATATTTGACATGAATGGCTCAATAATGATATTCTTGACAGCTTCTCGCCGCGTAACTACCTCTTGTAATTCGTTCGGTGTTGAACTAGTATGTATATCTTCGCGCGTGTTTAATTTGTTCAACTGGCTAGATATTGTGCTAGAAATGATATCTGTAAGAGCGGTTGATTTCGTTGTATTAGCAGTGCTTGGTCTAGTGATACTTGTTACTTCTTTGAAATCATTCGAGGTTGTGTTTTCCTTGCTCTGTGATTGTCTAAGAGATGCTTTAGATTCAGAAAAGATTTTTTCATCTATAATTTCTTGATTAATTTCTCGTTCAACTAACTCTGACGATGTTTTGTGGATTCCAGTATCTTTCTCTTCAGTGCATTTGACATTTTTAAAGAAGTTTTTCTCAATGGGATCGACAATTATTGGAATAATCGTAGTCGTCTTGTGAAACATGCAACCCATGGAATACAGCCTTTTTTTTATTAAGATATAACCAACCAACATTCAGCAAGATGTCAATAAAACTGCCGAAGTTATTTTTATTGCAATATATCACTAATTATTTGACCTGACTACCTTATCTTATCAAAAGACAGACATGCAAGTAAAAGAATGAGTAGTATATTTGCATATGACATTTCGAAGGCTTTCTCAGAAGTATTTTTTTGAAATGATACTCGAAACAAAGGAAGTACTACACTTTTATATTACAAGAGTCTCAAAAAATATTTCGAAGTATGAACAATTATTCGTAAAAACATTATTGGTTTCGAATAGAAATGATTTGATATTAGGTTTCAATAGTTAATGGTGAGCCACATGCAAAATGAGACATAATACGTCAGGTTGTTTTCTTTTGTTTTATTTATTAGTTAATGATAAAGACTATCATAAAGCTTTTTACGTTGAATTCAAAAGTATTTTTTCGAATAATGTTTCTGCAAAAGTGCATAGATAATTTCTGTAGTTTATTTTGAAATATTTAAATTTATTGAAAGATATTTTTCTTATAATACAATAATACTTCTCTAGATTTCGTTGATACTTAGTTACTTTTCAAGAACTTTCAATCACTAACAATCTTATATTGAACAGCATTTTTTTGCTTAAATTTATTTTAAAAAGAAACATTTAGGAGCAGTTTATTGTTATATTTAAAGAAAAATACTTGTTCATTTTCCTAGTTAAACATTAGGATACCGTATATTTCAAAAGTTCTTGATATGAACTGTTTTCACCATTTAACTTGACATATATAGCAACTTTTTTGTGTTCAACTTGAATATTCCCATCCAACATATCATTCTCATCTGGTTTCCATGCATCACCTTCGATTCAATTATCGTCGACGGTTATATTAACTTCTTGTGCACTTGGAATTCGACAACGAAAATGAACTGTAGAACCATTTTGAAGAACACCATTCAATGGTTTAATTTGTAACATCTCATATTATAAAATGGAAGATAAATTTCCGGAAATATTATGCATTGTTTCAAGATATCAGATGGAATTGGTTGTAAAACAAATTGAACAACAGAATGAGATTCATTTTCATCTTGACGTTTAGAAAATAGAGTTAATTCAAAGGTTACGCCAGTAGTTGATGAAGCAAAAAGACATTGCTACACATTTGCTTCATGATCAAAATTGACAAGCGTACCATTTTTTATGTTTGTATTTTCACAGCTATCTTTTATTGCTGCAGAAACACGAACATCATCAGACGAGCGAACTTGAATTTCACAATAGGTAATATTGGTGTTTGATGACCAGTCAATATAACGAGAATTCATTGGTTTGATGATTTCTATGTTGTAATCGAAAAAGTATGACCAAATATGAGGATACGAAATATGCGGCGATGGAAGATAATCGACATCAAAAGCAAACTGTACAGCAGCAGTCCTAAAGCATTGATTTTGATTACTTTTTCCTCAGCAAAAATGATGATATTGTATTTTCCAGATTTTGGTGGAGCGAATTGACATCGCCATAATGTTTGATCTTTTTCATCTGAATAAATAAAATATCCACGTTGAATTTTGTTACCTGTTTCGTCTTCTAAAGAATCCGATAATTCGATATTATTGTTTGATAATTGAATAAGCACTAGTCCACCTGCTTTATTCTTGATTAGATCAATTTTAGCCGAATACATAGGTGAAAAAAATATGCAAATCACATGTAAAAAATGCTGAATATGTGTAAGGTAACATAAGATATTGTTGCATTATTATTGGATGTGCAAGAAGTTGATATTCATCATCTGTAGGTAGATGTTTATAGATCATATGTTCTGGTCGACATGACCTGAATCCCATGGCGATTCGACAAAATACGAATGACCATTTTGAGTATAATATATTCCATGCATGATTTGTTTTTGAAAATGAGTTTGACACATATTAAATCCAAATTCTGTCCCGCAACCACTTACTTGACGACATTGAATTCCAGTTCTATTACATAATTCAACATATAATGATGAATAACCTTCATAAATTGGTTTCCCACTTTGAAATAGACTATGTGCAGTTTGGGCTTCAATTTCTTTGCTAAAAAAGGCATTTGTATTATAGTTAATATTTTGACTAATCCAATAGAAAATGATCCAAGCTCAATCGATCTTCGATTGATGATGGTTGCCATATATTGATAGCTTTTCTATAGGTGATATTGTCAATAGCCTCTTGTCGCTGTTGACAAACAGTTGTTGAGAATGCATCATTGTCTCTGAGTGATAGATTGATAGAAATAATTGAAACTACAGGTAATGAACTCTGTTCATTAAATTTATTCGATAATTCTGATTTACATCTAACATCATTTATTTGACTAACATCTGCAGCAGATGAACGAATTTTGATTTGATTACGAGCTATAGTATACAAAGTTGCTTTATTAATAAATTGTGTCTTACTTCTCAATGTCAATAGCTATGGGATTGTCACCATGTTATTTGACTGTTTTCTTTTGTCTTTTTTCTTCACCCTTGGTCTTTTTCTTTTTCTCTATTAATAGTTAGAGCATATCAAATAATTGTATGAGTTCTGTAAACTTTGACATCTAATTAAGAAGACACTTTATGATTTGGTATTGTTTATTTGATCAGTGACAAAGCAGCAAAGCTTGCACCTATTTTTAAGTGTTCACTATTGATATGTCATCAATTGACGTAGAAGTAAAACAATTTGAATTATTGAATGACTTTGACAAAGACTGCCATTTGGCTAACTTTTTTTCGACCTTTAAATATGAACTGCATCTTATATAATCTTTACATGTACGCCTGATTTGATCATGTCAATAGTTATTAAGTAAATTGATATAGTTGCTAGGCGTTTGACGACTGATCCGTTGACGATGATAATCAGTATTATTATTCACTTTACTATGTTCAAATACATAGACAGTGTATGAATATTATTCATTAACATGTATAATATATCTCATTCTCATTGGCGAAATATAAAAACAATAATTTTCATATCATTTTCATTTGTATCAGAATTAGAGGTTCTGATTTGTCAAACTATCATGAAAATTATTAGCAAGAAATTTCACTAGTCTATCTGATTTTCATTGCACAGATACTAATAAAACAAATATTATGAATAAATTCAATGATACGTTGTCGAAAAAAATACAACAATATATCTCAATGTTAAATATTTACTCTTGAGTGTAGTATTTAATTATGAATGGCACCTACAAATTGTTTTTTTATAATCTATGTCATATTACTTGTACATAAATTATTTCACTTGTTTAGTTCATATATGGAAGAATTGAAGAAATCTGTTGGCGTTAAATTTAATGTCCTCTTGTGTTGTACATACAATTCATTATGCCTGGTTAAGGTAGTATTCTCGTTGCAATAGTCCCTTCAGAATGAGTCGATGTTAAGCTAATAATAGCATCGACTTAGCCTTTTAATTTCTCTGAATCTTGAAAAGTTTCGATCATCATCTTTTCTAGATTAATTTCAAAATTAGCTGATGGAATGAATACTTGTCTAATGACATTGATACGCCACTTAATTAATAATTTGGAATTAGTCGATGATAGCAAGCCACTTATCTTTGTTTTCTTTATTATTTCGTTTGACACAATTTTATGCTTTTTGTAATAACATCGTTTTGAAGAATTTCGGATTCAACTAACTCGATCAATGCTTTTAAAATGGTGGGCTATGGTTGCTCAATTGTTTCTTGATGGGATTAAAGGTGATATTTCTTATAAAGACAAAAAAAGCCCACGAAAAGGTGACCCTTTTAGTCGCTTATTTAATTTTTTTGAGGATTTTAAATAAACATGATAAACTCTGGAAGTCCATATCCAGTTCAATAGATGAATGGTCTGCAAATTTATATAATAACTCAAAACACAAGTGAAAAATATAAATGGAAAAGAAAAACTATTTTCTAAATATCGTAGTGTCTTGATTGAAGATGATTAATTCTATTTAGTACAAAAACTACTGAAAGGCTTGAGTCAATATATAAAGAAGTAGATGAGATTCTTTAGACAAGCAACAATATATGACAAAACATTTGACCTATTCTAAGAAACTTCCAGAAAGAATAAACAACAAATATGGTATCAACTTTTACTACATCAAACTTTGACGATCTATTTAGAATAATTACTACGTATATTGAATATTGTATATTTATTGAATTTTTTGAGAAATATGTTAGCAAATAATCTAGAATACATCAGTTGTTTTGACATACCAAAGAATTGAAAAAAAAATTTTTAATTAATATATATATATATAAATACACACACAAAATAGATGTCATTCTGATTCGCACGAGTTATGTACCATAATACGAATAATAAAAACAATCATATTACGCAGTGCTGGCATTACATGCTTGTTTAGCTTGTGCAATAAGACCATTCTGACCATCTAATATATCTCGATGCTTAGTTGATGGACGATGCGGATCGCTTGCATCTTTCGGTGTATCACGTTCAACAGCTTTTTCGGCTAATGCACGAGCACATTCAAAATAATTCAAAGCTGATTGAGGACTATTGCCCAATAACTTTTTGCCTTGTTCAATTAATTCATTACTTAAATCTCTTGATAAACGTAATAAAAGATCAATTTCAAAATCAAACATTTGTATTTCAAGGCCTTGTTCAATATATTCTAAAACCCATCCAATATGATCTTTGATACAACCACAAAATATATAATAGGAATGAATAGCAAACTCTCGTTGTTGAATTTCAGGGATAATTTGTTTTCCTAATGTAGCTGAAGTAATTAATATAATACTTTTTTTATTGTATAAATGCGTATCAATAAGTTCTAATGCATCTTCTATTGACGATGAAAATGAAACGGGTGCAGCTAATTCGCTTATACAGCATATCATTTGATTAATAGGGTCTATTGGTATTGGAAATTCTGCTGCAGCTGGTGCAAGTTCTGTTTGAAATAATTTTTTTAAATCTTTACATTGATCCTGTAAACCAATATGAGCATCCAACCAAAGAATAGAAAATGCTGAACTTAAAGCCATCAAATAATACTCTTTTTTTTTTGTCTTTTCTGTAAAATCAAAAGAATCTATATAGATAATTGAAATTAGGAAAAAGTTGTTTTTCTTTTTATTTTTTTGTATGTATATTTGCTAAAAAAAAATAAACAAAAACACCTTTCATAGATCTAAACGAATCGATCAATAAACAGCGTAAGTTTTTCGGACAGAAAAAGCAACAACAAAGTCAGATATAGAGAAGAATCGGTTATGAAATACCACATTTTCCTAATGTAACTCAATGAAAAAAAAACAAAATCACACTGTCAACAGGATAATGTGTTCAACTAAATACCTGGGTCTACTAAACAAAAGAAAAAGAAAAAAAAAACAGAAAAGACTAGACAACAAGAGGTTCTCAACAAACAAACAAACAAATACACACACACACAGATATAGAAAGAAAATTGACCTACACGCTACAAAAGAGTATCAGACTATCAGGCACAAAAAAAATTTCATTGCCTGTAATGTTTTCTTGTTTCTTTTAATCAACTTCATTATTCATTAATGCTGCTGCTTGTTCAGCAGCTTCTGATATTGTTTTAATCGAAGATGTTGATATTTGTTGTTGATCATCAATTGATTGTTTAGCTAATTCTTCACGTAATAAATCAAGATCTTTTTCACGAATTTGTATAAATAAAATACCATTAACAACATTAAGCATTTCCAAAACATTTTGAAAACTTGGTTGTTGAATCTAAATAAAATTTAGATGTTTTTTATTGTTTTCAAAAATCAAATTAAAAATAATATACAGTTATGCTTGGTATCATAAGTAATTGTCCTTTAACAACATCATTCATTCGTTTTTGTAAAACAACAGCTTGTTCAGTTAAATGTTGAAGTACTTGAGCACTTTCACGTGTTCGTTCATGTTCATCACCAAGCTGAATATAAATAAAAATCGATCAATTTCAAAGTTTGTTTTTTTTTTCTTACTTGTAATTTATATATTTGATAAGCTTCACGCTCACTGTTTAATGCTGATCGAAAATCACCGCGACATGATTGAATACGTGCACAAAGATGATGAGATAATGCTACTTTAAGACTTTTTAAGCCATAAAATCTAATTACAAAAAAAAAGACATTTTAAAAGTTGTTATTTTTAATTTTGAAAATATTTTTGACGAAGATAGTGCTTTTTTTTGTGCAAACATCATGAAAGTGTATAAAAAAAAACAAGCTTTACTTTCAAGGATATTTATGAGTAAGAGAATAGTAAAGTCGAATAAGCCAATAGAAAAAGTCGATAAAAAATATGTTACTTTTAATTTCTTTCTCTTTAAACAGTAACCTATAGTTTTCAAGCTGATTAGCAGATTTTTTTCCTCTATGCTTATACGAATATGACTCCCTATTTCAACCAATCATATAAAAGGATGTTATTCAATAAATATATGTCTGGTGACCACTGTAGAGCATTTTTAATATTATTTGTCAGACATGAAATCAATGTTTAAATTTTTTTTCCGAAAATGCAGGTCTTCAGACGAAGGAAGCTTCATCGATAATACAGTGCGTTTGAGATACAGCACCCCGTATTAGGTTGAGTCTATTGCGACTACAAGAAGTCTAGAAGAATTTGTTCTTATTAAATCATTAGATCGTCTGTATTCATTAATTATTTCAGTACAATGAATATTTAAAACTTACTTCTTATTTAATTCAAGTGATTTTTCCATAAATTTCAATGCATTTTCATAATCTCCGTATGATTGTAAGATTAATCCAAGATTGCTCTATAATAATAATTACAGAATTTCTCCAAACATACTTAATCATTAATGAAAAAAAGGCTTCTTCTTACATCAATTAAACTAATTTGTGGATGATTTTCTCCACAACATGCTAAAATAATATATCTAGCACGGCAAAGTAATTTCGAAGCATTTATTGAATGACCATTTGCAAATGAATAAAGTGCCATATGAATCTAATTTAAATGAATAGAAAAAAAAACTTTCCGATGTTTTTTTTTAAACTTACATATTCAGTTGCTGTTTGAGGATGATCAATACCTAATACACGTTCAGACATCATAACAGCTTTATGTTGTGTATAAAGTGCTTCTTGATAATCACCCATTATATAATTCAATCTTGCTAATAATCTTAAACACATACTAATTTCTGGATGCATAGGTCCATAAACATTATTTAATAAATTATGAGCTTCTGATATCAATTCAAAACCTTCACGAAGTAAACCTTGTTGAATTTTTTGTTGACCAGTTGTAAAAAATTGATAAGCATCACTTGGCTATATAAACAAACAAACAAAATCATTAAATAATTTATCTTTCTTTTGTGAAAGACGATTTAAAGCGTGTGTTCAATAATCTGCACCTTCCACATTGACCATGATAGACGATATCAGAATTGTCGATGTTTTTTAAAGATAACGAGAGGAAAGAAAAGCAAAGCCTGACCTGACATCTGACACAACAGACAATCTGTCATCAGACTGTCCCTTTTCGAGAGCCTGTTTCAACCCTATTCATTTCACAACGACATTCAGCAACTCATTGAAAACATGATAGACATCTTAGCAACGACACATCACTGACGTGACAGGCATAAGCATAGAAATGTCACCCATCGTGACAGAAGTTATCGATCTACGCAACAGGCATCCAAGCAATATTTTCCTGATGTCATAGCCTGTGACAGATGTTGTCAATATATGAACTACCTAATTACATTTCTGCAGAAGAATAGTGAAGAAATGTGTCCCAAAATAGATAGAATCAAACACTCCTACTGTGATTAACAACAATAGTTAATAAATCGTGTTTCATATTTCAATAACACAAGGATTATGTAAATAGTTTTGTTTTTACTTTTGGAGGAACTTGTTTAATTAAAGGATAAATATTAATAACATCTTCTTCATTAAAACATTCATTATTTGTACGAGTTGATTTATTTGTTACATCAAACTGATATTCACGCATAGATAATTGTAAACCAGTTTTTGAACAAAATGAACGTAAAATACATGTACGACGAGCATTGTATTTTTCAAGAAAATTTTCAATATCATCACTAAAATATGAGAAAAATTAAAAATATGAAATATAATGTTATTTACCAGTTCAAATCAAAATTATATCTTGCTTTAGCTTCATTTGTTAATTGTAACCAAAACGTTTTGGATGTTAATGATAAAAAGTCTAATGATTCTAAAATAAAAACATCAAAAAGAAAAAATTTCAAAGTATTGGAATGATATGTCTAAATAAAAAATTTTATCATTTGATTCATAATAACTATCAACAATACGTTTCTGTTTCATGTTATAAAAGATAAGAAAAATAAATGATAGTCAATAATGTATTGCATGATAATAATCTTATACATATCAATTTTTATGTTTATTTTTGTTTAATGTAGCGAAGAAAATATTTAACATGTTCTTTTGATTATACTATTTACAGAATGTTATGAAGAACTTGTTAAGAAAAAAAATCATATGAAATAAGTAATAAATGCATGTTTCATAAGTAAGAGACTGATTCTAGATCTACTTCTGTAACTTTGCAAAGAGAATTTTTTGGAATAATCAAAAAAATTATGTTAGCCAAATAAGTTTTTATTTTATAGATAACTTAAACATCTTCAGATAACTTCGAATGAAGAGTAAATATATTCAAATCATTTCATATCAATATTATTTATCAAAAATTTTGAAAATGAATCTATTCAAAGAAAATAAAATATTTAAAATTATCATTCTCTGATTTTCTTATTATTGATTACAAAGAGATAATAAATAATCAATACAATCCAGAAAGCTTCTTTTCAAAACTATATGTGTGAGAATTAAAGAAGAACATGGAAGCTGGAATAAGAGTTCCTCGGGTTGATTTCGAACAGTGTTTCTACTTGCGGGCGTACCAAACAGAAGCAAAATGTATAGATCATCTGCTACTGTCGTTATACATGCTATTTTATATATTGCGCAGAACATCAGAATGTACGCAGTACACTTTGCTGAATAAAAATAACATTTTGTTTCCAATATAATCATATATTTTTTAACAGAAAAATATAAAATTTAACTTATTCTGTTTTCTTTTATATTCGAATTTCGCTTTGATTATATCAGAGAAGAAAAACAACAAAAATCCATATTTTCCAATCATCGATAGGCATCTGCATCAAATCAAATATGATTAATTGTTTTTCCATTTTTTTTTCTCTAATACATATTTTTTATAAAACTTCACCATAGTACATTTTGATATGCTCCGTTTAGAAGAAAAAAAAAAAAACTTTTCATCTTACCATTTCGCATAAATGGATTTTGTTTACGTTGTTGATGTTTTTTATTCTTTTTTTTATTAGTAGTTTTTTGAGATGAAGAATTCGTTAAATTTGCTAATGATGAATTTGTATTCGTTGTACCATTATTTGTTAATGTTGAAGATGATGATGATGATAAAAACTCATCGGATAGATATTCAGATGATGGTGAAGTTATAATTGTTAGGAAACAATTTAGAAAATGACTTATTGAAAATGATAATAAATGAAGTGGTACGGATTGTATATAATTACGAAAAATATGTTTTGCACTTCGACAAAGAATTTCTGTTACAGAAATATCCTATAAATCACAAAAAAAAGTAATTATTGACAAAAAAAAAACAAAATTAATGAGATTTGTTATTTACATAAAGATAAAATAGTGATGATTGTTGATTAAGAATTTGAACTACTCGACCAAGATAACGAATATTAATTCCTCTAAATAATAAAAATTCAAAGTTTGTTTATTGAAAATGTTAAGTCAGTAAAATACCTTGAATGCATAGCTTCTGATAGACTTTCACCATCGACTGGTACAGCTGAATGATCTTGAAAGTCTTGTATCATCAATGGAATTTGTTTTAATACTAAATATTCTGCAGCTTCTTTTAATAATTTTATATCAGCTGTTGTTTCTGCAGGCTAGAAGAAATAAATCATTTTCATTATAAAAAATAAAACTAAAAGAATTTTCTATACCGATTGATTTAATGTTACATGTGGTTGAAATAGATCAGGATTAAAACGAACATCAAATTCATTGTCTTTAACTGATCCTATTGAACGACATGCAGATTGAATTATTTCACGACTATTATCTTCAACTTAAAACAACAGCAACAAATAACTTATATTTATATTGATTTATAGATTTATAATACCGCTGATTTCATTAACAATACGTTTAGCTTCTTCAACATTTGTTTGTTGAGTTGTATCATTTGCTGTAGATGACTAGATAAAAACAAAAAAGAAATGATAAATATTTATTAGTTTATTGTCAAATACAATTATCAACATACTTCTGTTGATCGTAATTTAGATAAATTAAGTGCAATTGAACGATAGAAATCAACATATTTTTGTCTAAACATTATTTTTTATAATAAAAGAAAAATTTTGTTTTCTTATATTGAAAATTTTTCTTACTCAATAAAAGCATCAATTAATTCTTGTCTTAAACAACATAATCGATGTTTATATGTTCTTGGATAATCAAGTTCTTTCATAGCTGGTGAAATATGTTCAACATCAACTAAACAAAAACGAAATTCATTATTTGATATTTAATTATATTTATAATAATAATATTCAAATTTTTGTGAATATTTATAAATATGTAAATAAAAACATTAAATAAATCTCTATAATGATATTAGAGATGTACATGAAACTTCTTTATTCCGATTTTCGAATCAAATATTTTTTTCAAATGAAGAAACATTCAATTGTCTTATTTTGAAGAGAAGTTTTTTTTTTCTCTATGAAAAATAACACTTTTTCAGAGACTATTTGATTAATGGTATGCATGTTAGAGTATAATGTTCCAGTCGTAAGCTTTTTTATTCATTTTCTCTGACTGAAAAACCCACATAGAAGTTGCAATGGTCTTGCTTTGAACGTAAAATATTTCTTTGTATATTGTTGTAGTTGAGTAATCTTTTACTTTTTCTTTCTATGAAACATATTTTATTCTTCCATCGGAAGCAAAAAGTCTCGTTCTTATCTGACCACAAGAGATATCAAAACAATAGTCGCACAGCCGCAAATCATTCTTCATTTATAATAAATGAATGACGTTTATAATCTGGACGTGAGTGGGACCATCTGGCCCATATATATTAATAAATCTGTGATTCGCAGCAATTTGTGCACGAAAGTGAAAGGTACCGTTTCCAATGAAATAGTGCTCATCCCGGTCATGCTCTTACCAATGCTTCCGGAACCCGGATATTTAAGTTTCCGATGAGAACCCGCCGGAAATATGTTATTTCCTACCGGAAAACTCAAGACGATGTTAGGTACTTGGAAGCAGAAATTCGGTGGTCGGAATTTTCTAGTTCACTTCCTAAGTGATCGTAGCCGGCAGCCGAATTCTTTTGAATTCCTAGGACTGTTTCGAATTTTTCACCCAGAAACAGCCCCCATTTTTTTATCTGAGTGGTCAAAAAAAACTTAGAGAAACCGGCACCATCTTGTCCATATGTATTATGAACATTTTTAAAAAATGTTTTTTTTTTCGAATATTTAAAAACTAACCTGATAAATAATTCAAATCAGGTGGCATCATACGTAATAAATCTAATAAATAATGTCGTCCATCATTACCAACAATACCTTTGCATTCAACAGCTGTTAATAATTCAACGACATCACCTTTTTCTGTTTTTATTGAATGTGGTTTAATTTTAAGCATAGTTGAAACTTTTTCCAACTAATAAAAATAAGATTTGTCTTATTTATTAATAAAGATATTTTTATTTACTAATTCTTTATATTTTTCATTCGTTGCACAAGTTTTACCAAAATCAGTCGAACCATATACAACACTTTGTTCTTGTTCTTTTTCCAAAATACCTGAAAAAAAAAATGAATTGATTTATTTCTTGTTTTCAACGTTCAAAGAAATTCAAGAAAAAATAATAATAAAATCTATGGATTTTGAATTTTAATAGTTTTATATTATAACTAATAATGAATGCATAAAGATAAAAATATAAATCGATAATTGATAATGTCGATGATATTCAGATTGTCAAACGTATAACTAAAATAATAAAAAAAAAAAATTCAAACTACATTCAGCTGAAATTGAAAATTGTTTTAAAAAAGCTTCTCAGTAACCTGTCTTTAGCTTAAATCTTGTCGTTTAATAATATCTACAACAAGGTTTATAGAAAAATTCTAGAGCCTCCCAAAGACATTGTTTGCTTATTTTTATTTCACTTTCTATCAGAGAGAGAGAGAGAGGAAAATGGTATTTCAAAATTCGGTTGCTATCCAAAGTTATCATGTACTTGTGAGAAATTGGCAAAAAGAATTAAAAATTGCCACCGAAAATTACATATTTTAGGGTTATAGAAGACCCAGTAATTGGAAACTCTGCTCAAGTTTGAAAATAAAGTTATAGAACTTACCAAGTATAATTGTTGCTAATTTGTTTTGTTTTGATAATGCCAATCATCATTGTTACAATAAATATTGTTCGTATAGTTACCAATAGAATAATATTAAATAATAGGTTGTGTATAAATTTAAGTTTTATTGAATAGAAACGTTTCTTTTATTGTTTTCATTATACTCAATGATTCTTTCAACTTATGAAATACTTTAATTCCTGTGTATATCGATAATAGATTAATAGTAGTTATGTTCAATATATAATAATTTTTATTTATTAGTAATATCATCGTTGATATATTACCTCTATTTCTTTGATAATTTTTTTTTCTCTTAGTGTGCTTTTTCTTTAGTTCCTATTACTGATTTTTATGCAAGAGAAAAACTATAAAACGATTAACGTACCAGGTACAATAGTTTGAGCAGTAACACGCATACCACGATAATCAACAACAGCAGTACCTAATGTATGTAATCCTTCTATGTCAATTGTGTTAAGAGCACGAACACCTTGTAAATCATTTGTTGGTGCAGCATGAGCAGCAGCATCACCACCAAAATCTTTATAATGTTCTTTAACATCAAAACCAAGACTGAAGAACATATTGTTCCAAATATACATATGAACTCTATTGAAAAAAAACCATATTCGTATTGAACAATGTAAATAAATAACTATTAGATTTACTAGACATTTTGTTGTGAACAATATGTATTCAGATAATACTGATTTATACGATAGAAAATACGAAAATCATTGATCTTATGTTGACACATATTCAAGAGAGCATATTCTCGATTGTTGACCGTCATTCAATTTTATTATTATGGTTATGAGTAGATCTCAGTGAGACTAAGAAAAGTTTACAAGGATTTAAGTCTATAACCAACTGATGAAGAAATATGTCCATTTTCGAAAATATTAAAATAGAAAAATTTAAGGTGAAATGTTGCCTGTAAATTGAGCTGATAATCAGAAAAACGTTCTGACAGTTTCAAAGAAAACGGATGAACTTTTTTTGACATATTTAATTTGCACAAAATAATCTCATCCGTCAGAAGCATATAATAGTAAAACCCACTTGAAAGTTTAGTATCTCGAGAACGACACTTTCATTTTTCTATCAATAAACAACATTTCACGATAAAACTCTGTATTCTGATATTTTCGAAAATGCCATATCTCTTCACTTATGGATCTCGAACTCAAATCTTTGTTGACTTATCTTAGGCTCACAATTATCTACTCATAGTCAGGATACAAAGTCGAATAGGGTCCGATAGTTGTAAATGTTCTTTCATTAGTAATGACTTTCTGTTCCGAGAAACGATCGATCCTGTATGTAAATTAATGTTTTTCTTTATGCTTAAGCCGGCAACAAAAGCACGTTTCTCAACCAAGATTTTTAATTAATTATGATAATCAGATTAACTTGATACAGATTGATAAAGAACATTCACAAGCTCTCCTACTATTAAGCTTTGATTGTAATCAAGTGATAATCACACCTTTTTTTGTCCTGAGGTTATATTACTCATTAACAGAATTAATCATTTCGATAAAAGATAAGTCAAAAATTTTTTATCAATATCTCTCTTATGTGTAAATTAGAAACAAACAATTCATTACTTTGATTCTTCACCAGGATTAATAGCCATAATATTACCATCTACAACCGCTTGACATCCTCGAATAGCAGCTGAAACAAAATCACTATGTACCTAAAAATAAGTAACAAAAAAAAAAATTTTTAAATCTGTAAAAAAAATTAATATCTTTGCATTTACTTTAAACATAGCACGTTCGCGAATAAGTCTTTCAGGTAAAGTTTTTTTTGGTAATTCTTTTGTTATTTGTAATTCTTCATTCCAATCACGTACTTGACCAGGTATATGATCTTCATGTCCAAGTTTATTAATATTTGCTATTTAAAAAAAACCAAAAAATAAACGACTTCTTTTTTCAATTCATATCTACCATCTTCTGCTCGAAAAAAATCAACTGTATGATCAAAACGTGGTGATAACCATGGATGAATTTGAGTTGGAATTTGTATTCGTTCAAATGGATGTTTTGTACAACGTTTACGTTGAATAGCAGCAAAATTTTTTTTAAATAATGGACTAATCTAAACACAAGAGAAATTTCCTCAATATTAATATGGTGTTACTATATATGCACGATCAATATTGAAATATCTCCATTTCGATTCATTCGAATAAGCTGATTTTTAGTAGTAGAGTTTTATTCTTAATGGATAAGGGAAACAAATACGTTAATATCATGAAAGTAGGTTTTACCTATTGTTCAGTAATATGAAGTGTTTCATAGGTGATTTCTAATTATCATCGAATGATCGAACGTTTTTTAGTGAGTAATCGCTGTCTCATCAAAAGCTATACGAATGATAGTTTATCCACAATGCTGATATTCTAGAAAACCGATTATTCGAACTATAGATTATATCGAGTTGTTTATAAGTCAATGATATTTTCTTTTCTTTTTTTTTATAAAAATGGGTTTTAAAGTAACATACTATCATATTAAAGATTTTCACATTAAAATATGATATATATATATAACTATTGTATGAATTCAAATGGTTGTATTTTTTCCCCAAACAACAATTTGAAAATCATAAAAGGTTACTATTTTCTAGACAATTCAATATGCTCTATTATCTGGACAGATCAAACAGAAATTTTTGTCTAAAAAATCAGAATATGAAAAGCTAAGGTGGCTTCTAATGGCCATATTCGGTGTCAACATGATGGGTAACCTATGACTCAGTAGCTTTTATTTAAAAAGCAACTGATCAGCTGGTAACGTGTTTTCAAAACCAATCTGTTCAAATGCTTAAATTCGTGCCCCATAAGTAAAACATACAATTGAAACCCTTTTGAAACCTATTTCCTTACAAAACCCATTATTCAATAGTTGAAAATTCGAAACTTTTTAATAATTAACTTTTAAATTACTCATCCTAAAACTTCTCTCGTAGTCCATCAATAATTTACTCAATAACAGTTAAAATTATTTTCATAATACCAATAATAACACTTAATAGCAGTATTTCCTTATCTCATCCATATAAAGAAAAAAAAAACCTTTCAATACACTTCTAACATAAAAAAATAATTAGCTCATTCGAGCTAAACGATACCGAGATATTTCAATTTCTTTTTGTTTTTGTAATGTTCATCCTGTGTATATTAGTCTCTTACATTATTTAATAAATCAACAAGTGAATGAAATATGGATTTCGGTTGCACCGGTTTAGGTATGAATTTTTCATCCGTTGTTCTTAATAAAAATAAAAAATAAAAAACTAAAATCATATTTAAAATTATCACTTACTGACTAACATAAAAACCTTTTGTACAAGCTGTTATATGAAATGACTTTTCTTCACATGTTGTTACTTGTAAATACATAAGATCACCTTTATGAAATAAATAATAATTTAAAAAATATTTTTAATACTAAAACTAACCGTGTAATTTTCTTGAACCATTCGGTGGATTCCAACCACTATATGATAATACTTTTAAACATTGTAATGGCTAAATTAGATTAAAATTTGTTTTTTAGAAACACGTGTTTTGGCTGTTTCATACTCGACTTTTATTATTTGTTGTAAATAAAGGTGTAAGAAGAATATCTTTTTGATTTGGTAAAAGATATTCCGGTACATTAAAATCAAATCCATTTGTTTCTGCAGCCTTTTTTCGATCTTATAATATAAAGATATTTAAAATAAACAAATATTTTTTCTTTTGTTACTTACCACTATTCGATACAATATCTCCGTTTGTTATATCATTAACCATACATAATGAATAACCATTATTACCATTATATAAATCAATTGAATCACATGAATGTATTAATTCATTAATATGTCTTACATGAATTCGTACTTCGCGTACAGTATATTGTTCTAAAAATAAGAATATAATCTTTAAATAAATATAATAGATACAAACCTTCAATAACTTTTAATAAACTTCCTTCTTTTAAATTTTCAATATTTTTTAATTCGGTAAAATTATCTAAAACAATTCCATCGAGTTGTAATGAAAAACATGTTCTATGACATGTTTCTTCTTTGTCCATTAGAACTTGATGAATTTCTTGCACAAGTTCACTTGATGTTACTGGTAACTCAAATGTATCTAAACCAGGTGATTGTATACGAATATTGAATGATGATTCAGGTACAACAATAAGTTCATTTGTATTTGTTGGTACAGATGATACTAATCCACTATTATTTATATTTGATGATGATGATGAACTTATATTTGTTGCTGCATCATCATTATCAGAATCTTTACGAATTTTTATTAAATCATCTTGATGACCATTACATTGTGTAAAATCAGAGGTTGTTGTTGAAATATTTTCATTCGTTTGTTTCATATTCTAGTTTTTATTTTATTGATAAATATGAGATAAATTAAGAAAAAAAAGTACAAAATACTAGAATAAATAAATAAATAAAAAGAAACAATTGTCATTAAATCACCATTAGTTTAATAAATAATGTTATAGTAGGATTAAAAAACAGGAGATATATTGAGAGTAAATAATTGCATTAGCATCATAATAAAAGCGTAGAGTGTCTTAGAATACTTATAGAACACACACACACACATACACGCACACACATACGCATGCGTATATAGTGACAGAAAATGCAAAACAGTGGGTGAGGACAAGAAGAATATAGAGAAGAAAAAAAACTCGAGAAACGAGACCAAAATACGGCGACGACTGGTGTAAAAGCGTATAGTGACGAGTACGACATACTATAAGAACATCGAAACAAAACAGATACGGAGGCGATGAGGGTAATACAGCAATATTTCAGCTGAAGTAAACAACGATTTCGTTATAAAGAAAAAGAGCAAGGGAGACAAAGAGAGAGTCGAAAGTTCATCGATTTTCTTTTTCTCTCTTATTCTATTTTTTTTTATCGTATATCGAAAATAAAGTCGTCATTAAAAATGACGTGGAGTCAACAAAGACCTTTAAGAAGATCTAAACAAGTAGTGCATGAGATAAATTTATTGACAGAAACTAGATCACAGTAGCAAGATGTCCTATTAAAACTTATTTATTTATGTGGATGAATTGGATGTTACCCGAACAGCTATGATCGACAGAATGGATACGAACGTATATGCAAGCGTGTCAATGGTATAAGAATGAGAAAAAAAAGAAAGATAGATAACAGTGAGAACGAGTTAATCGATTGCCGCCGTTATGTAATAGTACAAAAAAGAAGTCATTAGAAGAAAAGCAAAAGATGAACTAAGTGAAAATATACATGTTCCTTTTTCGATTGACCTATACAGATACACTGTTGATATAAAATATCTGTCTATCCAATTGGCTGACAATCGCACATGGAATCTAAAAGTTCAAATGTTGTCTGAATAATGTCTTGGCAAAGAATATATATATAGCCTCTTCTACTCAACAGACGTCTTGTCTTTTCTCAACAACACAATCACCGGGTGGTGATGTATTTCTTCACAGTAGTTAGTCGTTTTTTTTTCTTCTCTTCATGATCATTCCGACAACAATAAACAACAAGAGAACTACATCGCTCCAGGTGTGATATATCGAGATGATGATCCCCAAATGATAGACAACATCATATTTATACTCAACAAAAGGTTAATGGTAATTATTGAAGCAAAAAATACAAGCAACTTTTTTCTATTATCCATACTAATCAGAACGATTGGTACATACAATCTTATTATCAATGTTGAGATTCATGAATGTTTATGAGTCTATCTAATTTTGATTAAGACCATCGTACGTGTTGTCTACCAAACTTATTTTATCAGTCAAGTGCAAACTATTGATGAAAAAAATAACAAAAGAAGACGAAATCAATTATAAACGCGTGCTAGTGATAAAAACAAAAATCAAAATAAAAAATTTACACCATACAATAGTTGATTGTAAAGTAAGATATAGAATAAGAGAGAACTAATGGAACTTGATAGCCTACGCTGTATTCTCTTCTTAATTTACTTGTTGAAATGAGTTACTCAGTACACTAAGATACTAACTACCTGTTAGCTATTTCGCAGTTGATAATAATTTTGTGCGATTCGACGAGCAACAAACGAAATTATTTTTCAATTTTTTTTTCTTTCATTCTGATTCTCAAGGGTAATTTCAATTGAATGTTCTATGCAAAAATTTTTTTTTCTTCTTTTTCTCTTTCTCTTTGCCACAAATCCACTCTAGATACTTGAAAAGGTACATAGAGAAATTGCTATTTCTTATTTATATATATGCCTGGATTGCACTTTGCTTTTTCTTTTTCTTTTTCTCTTTTGCCTCCAGTCATTTTGAACATTCGACAGAGAACTATATTGACCATATTATTCGTACAATCGATATTTTTGCCATTAGATATGAAATGTGACAAACTATGAACGAAACAATCACAAAAACTGATTAAGATTTTCTTAAGGCACTTTTCTATATCATGTTAATGTTCTACAAATCGAATTTACCTGGAGAAAAATATCAAAAATTAGAGAATAAGAATACGAGACGGTGTAAAATGTGTAAAATATCTGTCTTACGATAGTAGGCTGTGTTTTTGGTTGTATTGATTTATAACTACTATGAAGTGTGCGCATGGCTGAAAAAAGTAACTACGTCATATTGATAGTGTTTTTCTTCGTTTCTTTGTGTGTCGAAGACATCTCTTATAAAACGAAGATATATGATGCATTTACAAGGAAAAAAGAAAAATTACATTATATGTTCGCTCTTCTTTTTTTCTTCTCTAGAAAATAATAGAAAAATCTGGCGAGGAAGTTGGTTTTCTTTTTCTAATACATTTCTCTTCCAAAAAGAATCTTTCGTGCATATTTATCGATAACAGCAGAAATATTTCCTGCTTGTCTTTTTTTTTCTCCGAAAAGAAAACAAATTAAAACAAATTTGTGTTGTCATCTTTAATGAATGATTAAATAATGTTGAGAAATGAAAATATAAACAAAAAACAGACGGAACTAATATACCTCATGTAAATAAAGTCAAGAAAAAAAAAAGATTAAATAGATTATTTATTAGTTTCTTGGATTATTCAAATAAAATATGAAAGAGATGTTTAAAGTGGAAGTTTTTTTATTGTAATCACGGCATTCATTAATTTTGCTTCATTTATTGTTTTATTTTCATCTTCTAAAGTTAATTTCGTAGCTGGCGATACTATAAATTCAAATGGGGTTGTTTCAAATAATGTTATTGTATTACAAAGTAAATGACGAATATCATTTAATGTTTGATCAACACTTAATCGAATATTAACAGGATTTGCTATGTCAGGTAAACGAAGACGTATTGTTGTCATAGTTTCGTCTACAACATTACCAAAACGTTCTTTAGCTGCTTGTTCAAGTTTATGACGATCAGACTCAGTCATTGTTGATGAAGCATCTGTTTGTGCTTTATCTAACATTGAATGGCCTTCACCTGCAAATGATAATCTTTGTGTATAATATTTTGCAAGTGTTGCTTCAATTGCTTGTGTATCAGCACCACGAATACGTTCGAGTTCTTTTTTATTAAGAATGAATACAAATGTTGGCATTGCTGAAATTTCATATTCTTGAGCTTCTGTCTATATGAAAGACAAAAAAAATATGATTTAAAATCAGAAAAAAATATACATATAAAGAGAGAGAAAGAGTTTTTGATAACTTACTTGACATTCATCAACATCAACTTTAAGAAAAATAGCATTTGGATGAGTATTACTCAAATTTTCTATAGTTGGTGCTACCATTTTACACGGACCACACCTACGAATAAGTGTAGATGAGATAAGAAAATAGAATAAAAAAGAGTAATTACCATGTTGCAAAGAAATCAACAAGTACTAATTTATCTCCTGCATGTTCTAATTCTTCTTTTAAACCACCATCGGACACTGCTTTCACAGGCATTTTAATATCTACGTATATTTATCTAGAAAATAAATCATAATTGCCCATTGATTAGAAAAAAAAACAATGATAACAAGTGACCTATTAAGAATGGAACACTTTGATTTTCTTTTTTTTTTGTTTTGTTTTGTTGAAGGCAGTGACACAATTTCAAGACATTATTCTAAGTATATTCGATGGAGACTTGTTCACTCTACAAAACACTTGACTTTATTCTTCAAATAAGTTTTTCCTGTCGCAGAAAAATCGATAAGACTGCCAGCCACGTAGTAATTGGATAGGGACTTCCAGAAAAAAATACAATTATTAAAACTATATTTAAATAACAATTCTGCCGATATTCGATTTATGCTGCAAAACACACTGTGAAACGATGTATCTCATGATTTTGTGTAATTTTAGAAAAAAGAACATCTGGAAGAACAATTTTTCAAGTAAAAACTTAGGAAACGACTCGAGCGACTCCATGCACCTTTACACCTGATGATATAGTAATAAACCGTTCATCAAGCACACTAACTCTTCAAAACAGGAGTTTCAAAAACACATACACAACAAAATACCAGCAGGTTTTAATTTCAAGTTTTTTTTCACCTAAACAACATCATTAGAAACCTTGGCGGAGATCTTGGACACATCGGTTATAAAATTTTCATATATTGATGAGTACCAGCCTGCATTAATCATTAGAGATTCACAGAAAATAGCAGGAGATCACAGTTACGCAATAAGGCAGCTGTCAATTTTTCTAATTTTTCATCGATAAGGAAAACTTATTTAAAAAAATGAAGTTCATATTTTGTAGAGCGAAAAATTCTCTACCCGAATGAACTTACAATCGTGTCTTTCAAGAGTATTTCTGTTTTTCAAAAACGAAAAGTCAATGTGTTCCATTATTTATGAGCCATCCATTTATATGATGGAACTAATAAAAAATAACAATTTAAAATCGTCGCTGATAACCTAAGCCTTCACATTCAATAATAAATGCAGAATTTGATGTATTAGATGCAGAAGCTGCTGATGCTTCTGTTGTAGAAGAGTTCGATTGATCATTTCTGGTTTTTATTGATGATACTTCTGTAACTGTGAATTTCACCTTTTAAAAAATTTGAAGAAAATAATAAATACACATATTATTAAACTAACTTTAGTTAAAAGTTCAGCAACATAAATAGCTGTTTTAGTATGATCTGATAATGGACCACATCGAATTTTTGAATTACCTTTAGCAAGAGCCATTAAAATAATTAACTATAAAAAAGAACGAATAGATGAAACTTTTTTTCTAAATTAAAATTCAAATATGCAAACTTGATCTTGTAAATGTCGATCAACACATGCTTGACATGACAAATCATGAAGTAAATCTTCTGTTGCTTGTGTACCAACATCATAAGCTGGTACGCCGCGTTTACCTAATGCACTAGCTGCAAGTATACAACCTGTTGTTGTTTCAGCTCCAACTCTATACAAAATATTAGTTTATAAATTATTTTGAAAAAAAAAATGGATATTTATTTATTTTTATTACATGATACCAGTAGCTGTTCCAACAGCCATATTATCAGGTTCTTTAACAACTTCAATTTCTATTGGAATATCTTTTGAATATTGTTTATGTATTAATTTTTGAGCGGCTTCAGCCATTTCATGAGCAATCTAAATACATATATTATAAGATAGACCGATATTCTTTTCAAAAAAAAACGGTTCATTCATACACGTTTAGATAAATTTCCAGCAACAAAAGCTCGACCAAAAAATCTTTTGATTTGTCCAAATTCAGTTAAATCCACACCTGTTAATTGATCAATTGGATTTACAGTAATACGAACTTCACCTCCACCTTTTGGATAATAACCTCTAAAATATTATTATTTATGAATATTTATTTATTTTTTGATAGTTAATACTAACCGTCGAACTAAATTTATATCAAAAATGAAATTAAATCGTCTTGTCATTGGTTGAAAAACCTATTTTTAAGAAAAAAAAAGATTTTTCTTATTTGATTATCATTTTGAAATATACCATTGAATAATAATCAATTTCTGGAGCAAATTCTGCATTTGTTCCTCCATGTAATCTCAAATGAGATGAATTATTAGCAAAAAGTAAACATGGGATAGCGGTTTGCATCATTAAGCATACACTCCTAATGAAAAAAAGAAACAATTTCTTTTTCAATAAGAAATTTTTATAGAATAATATACCCAGCTGTTTTTGTATCAGCCATATAATTTCCACCTTTAATAGTTTTAGGTGTAAGAAAGATTTCTGTTGCACCAATATTTCCATTATGAAGTTTAGCTTCAGATAATTGAGCTAAAAGTTGTATACCAGTAAGATGTTGTGGTCGTAATCCACCTTGTGATCGACCAGCTCGAATTTTTTCTACACAAATAGGAATTCCAAGTAGAACACTCAATGCTGTTGAGTTACGCAGTATTTGACCACCCTTGAATTATTAGAAACACTAGTTTTAGTATGTCTTTAAAGTTGTTCAATATCCAGTAAAAAAACAGTTCTACAGCAGTTTGATTGTTAGTTTTAGGTACGAATAGCATTTTAACTTTAAAGTTAAAGCTAAAGTACAGATGTTTTTAATACTTGGGTTTTGTTCATAGTAATCATGTTGATCAGTTATCATTAGGGTGGATCACTTAACTCAACATAAAATGAGGTTTGAATGATTGAGCTAGTCAAATACTATTAAATTTCGAGTTTTTCATTGCTGCTATAGGGACGTAACATACAATTATTCAGGCCATATGAAACAGGGACCCATGATAACTCCCAGATCGACCCAAACTACACTATGTTTTGCCCTTACAATAGAGAAGAAAAGCCCTACTGAATGCTGATTGATTACCAGATTTTTTTTCTATCAATAATCGGATTCGAGGAAGGTGTTTCTCGCCTATTGTAAGGACAAAACATAATGTTATTCGATTCATCTGAAAATAAAATCCTCCGATAAGTACCTGATCGACCCGAATAATACTATGTTCTGTGGATAAAATTGAGGAGAAAAGCCCTAAGTCATATTAAAAAAAGTAGTCCATCCTTAATATGTATCTCAACTTTAACTTTGAAAGTTTACAGTACCACTTTAACCTTAAGTTAAAGTCAACGTGCGATCCCTAGTTGTAGGTATTGTCCTACGAAATCAAACAATTTTACTTCGGCATCTACAACTACGACACTGAGGAAACTTCAAAAACTTTTTTGACTAACATATCTATGTTAGCGTCCGATGTCATATCCGTCTAGGTAGAGCACATTGTGTCCAAAGTTTTCGGATTCGATTCATAGAAGAATTGTAGACCGGACTTAATCCAACTCGAAGAGCTGTATGTCTAAGCCAATCTAGAATTTCACTTTGGATGCGTTGAATGTGGGATTCAACATTGAATAGACATTCACTCAAGCCATTTTCGCATTGATCAGTTACAATATGTTCAACCGAAGATTCTCCTAAAAATGTTAGGCGAGTTTCAGATTAGTCGAAGTCGATGATGGATTGAGCGATTAATACAGCCAATCTCAAATGAGGATGTGAGAGTGGAGCAAAGAGAACAAGTACATGCACATCCGTAGTCTTCGTCGATTTTGTTGAAAAAAAATTATCGTGTTCCATGATTAATTTTTGCTTTGATGTAATATGTTAGCTAATTTTAGATTGACCGTATTGGAACTGATAAATCGGAGAAAAGCTAGAGGTTTATGTCCGTCTAAAGTCGGATCTCAAATTGAACGCTAATATATACCTTGTTTTTGTGCTACTTATTAATGAGAATGACCTTCCGATGGTTTTTTTTCCTAGAAACTTATTTGTGAAGTATATTTTTGTTCATTAATTAACATATGAAGTAGAAACTTGTTACCACATCAAAGTAAAGAAACTTGTTACCACATAAAAGTAAAGAAACTTGACTGTTTTGTTGATATAATAACAACTCTTCATGAGTATTCCTACTTGTAAGAGTATTTTCTTTTTGCATGGCTCCGACTCCGATTCAAAGCTCTAGTTGTAGGAGAATTCGAAAAGAAAACACTGATTTTGTATGTATAATTCTCAGCTTTTGATAAATACAAAAAAGTGATGATATTATTTTTCATTTCTGATAGGATTTCTGTTTTTGTTGATCATTATTCTTGGAATCTGTTCCATTATTTAAAAAAAATAGTTTAGACGCCCTAATCTTAAAAATATAAACTATATTTGCTTCGAAAATTTATTCATAATAAATTCAGAGAAAGCTCAGGATGATGTCAATTGTTAAGCTTATAAAAATGAAAATTTTCATTTTTCATTTTCCTATCGGTTACCAAAAGTTTTTCCATTCATAATAATTCATATAATACTTACTCCTTCTAGATATGATCCATCTATTGTTATTATATTCGATAATGAATCATTCTGTTCAGCCATAGTTGTTAATCTAAAATATCAAGATAAAAGGAAATGCTCCTTCTCTTTATAGAAAAACAAAATGTTTAAACTTTTTTATCGATTGATTAAATATATTGCTTCTATTCGAATGAATAGATCGTGTTAATAATACTTTTAAATAGCCCATAAAAAAATTTCATCATGATGAATCTAAAAATATTGCACAAGTATGATTCATAAAGGTAACAATCATTTATTTATGCTTGTCTAAGGCATATTTTTTATTTGTAGAGAAAGAAAAAAACGAATGAAATACAAAAAAGAAAAGTCAATAGGAGCTCCGTTAGTGTAAAAGAAATGAATAGATTTTTATGTTTCTTTTTCTTGTATACATAGAACAGATAAATGTTTAACAAAAGATTAAGAACCGCGTCGAATAGCAAGTGTAGCATTTGTTAATTTAGCTTCACTTATTGTTTTTGATTCATCTTCATGTTTTATTTTTGTTGACGGTGGTTCAATAAATTGAAATAGATTCGATTGAAGTGAAGGTACATTTTCATTAAGAAATTTACGTACATCAGCTAATGTTCGATTAAGATCGATTACAATACGTATTGGTGTTGATACATCAGGTAAACGAAGACGTATGGTAGTTGATGATGAAGATGATTTCAATTGTTGTTCAGCAAGTTTTTCTAAATCACTTGAATCACTGGGTGCTGATGTTCTACTAGTAGTTGTCGTCATAGACGATTGAAATGGAGAATCTCGTGTAGTTTTTGATGGACTAACAACTGTAGGTGCTGGTGAGCCAAGCATATAACCAGCACCTCCAAATGGTTTAAATTGTGGTGCTACTGGTTTATATTCTTCCTCTCGATGATCTTCAAGACGTACCTAGAAAAAAAAAACAAAGAATATTTTTATGAAATGACCAAATAATTATTTCTCTAGTTGTAGGATTTACTTCAATTTGTCGTCCACCTGTAGTTAAGTTTCTAAGTTCAGGTGGTACTTCACCACGTTTAATGTAGCTCATAAATTCTTTATTATCTTCAAATTTACGTAATTCACCATCACCTACAGTAAAACCATTTGAAAAGAAACGAAGTGGAATTTGTTCAGCTTGATTCGAAGCCGCTGGTGCTGTCGCATCGAATCTTGATTGACCCAATGAACGTGAAGGTGTAGTTTCATCACCTAAAGAAGTATCAAGTCAAAATCAAAAAGTGAAATAAACTAGAGTTGCAACCGGTAGGTTCGACAGGAGTTATTTTTCATATTTCTAATTCTCTAAAGAGTCAAATTCAACCGCTCGATTAATCATAACTGCAGTATCTCTAAACTACTACAGCAATTACACAAGACTTTCGTTTTACTATTATAGAGCTTTTGTAAAAGATAATTGTTAATAAGTTTTGAAGTATATAGTGAGAGATTGGAATTAGTTTTGGCCAACAGAACTCAAAGATTGCGAAGAACATGCTGTTATTCTTTTAACCTACAGATAAACTGTAACATAAATGTCGATATCTCTTTCATGATTTGTCATATAAATGATGAGGCTTTCTACAATAGTTAAAGTAGCTCCATTTTATCTAATATTTTAATTCTATAAGGATTGCATGTAAACCCCTTTTCCACTCTTGACAGCTATTGAGGAATAGAAAATTTCACAGAATTACAAATTCTATGTTATTTTTGTACACTAATTTTAAATGTTGATCACACATAGAAATTATGAATCAAATAGACTTACGAGGGAGCATTTCTATGTGTGAAATCACTTTTGAATCAAGACTATGTACATCATGTAGGTTTTAATAAGGTATGGATATCGTGAAAAAAACTCGGATTAATAGCTCATAACGGTCGAGATACTGTATCTTTTATCAGAATGCTATGTTCTTATTCCCCTTCGAGAACACCAAGAAATTTAAGTTCCAAATATCTACTTGAAATTTGACACAGAAATAGGTCTTAACGAGAATGGCTCACTATTAGAGTTTTAGGTTTTTCAATCACGTCTATTCTGCAAAAAAAAACATCGGAATTGGCCGTTGAATATGAGCGACACGAAAAACATGCTTTTATTATAGCCATATCTTGTGATATCAGCAATCAAAAGATTTGAAACTTTTACTATCAACCATTTCCATTAAGGCCAGTCTCTATACAAAGTATAAAGTTGAAATTCGCAACTTAGTTTTCATGAGAGAATCAAAGCATTTTGCTAAAAAAATACACTATCTTCGCAGTAATAAGCTACTAACCCCAACTCATTTCAAAGTATTCATATATCAGAGGAACGTATATGATGCTCATACTTCCGATTCAAAACTAACTTGACACTCAGAAACGTTGTCTCGTTAAAAGAAATATTCTAATGCATGTTCTCTAATAGAAACAATCATTGATATTGGTAGAAATAATATGATTTAGAAATAAATAACATGCAAAAACCGGAAAAAATCTTTACGAGTCGGTAAGAAATCCTCTTTCAAACCGAATCTGCCTTTTACCGTTACCGGTTACAACAATGAAATACACTATCTAACCTAAAGTATATCCAACACCGGTAAATGGTTTTTCTTTTTTTGTTTGTGATGATGACCCATGTTCATCGTCATCAGCTTCAATAGCACCTTGTTTACGAGCTGCTTCAAATATTTTAGTTACTTTCTTATCCATATCTTTAGGTTTTGGTGGTCCAAGTATTTGTTGACCACTTCGTTCGGAACCACCAGCATAAAAAGCTTGACCTAGAAAAAAAATTCTTTTTCTTTTTTAACCAATAAAGAATATTAATCAATAACCTTCTTCATCAGAACTTTCTCCTTCTTTATGTAAACTACCAATAGTTCCAAATTTTGATGATGATGCTGATGAACTTTTACTTTTATCATCTTTGGATACTGCTGATGTTGATTTTGTTGCACTAGCTCGAAGACTTTCATCAATAGCATTTTGTATTGGAGCTTCATCATCTGATTCATAACCACCTGTTCCGCCGGATGCTATTTCTCCTATTGACAAAAAAACACGATCACATACATCGTATATGTTACCATGACAAACAATTAAAAAAACAAAGAGTTACGAACCAGAAGCACCTTGATTAATATTTGTATTAGTCGAAGCAGTGGGTCTACTGGTATGAGAACCACCATCATCATAGAAAATTTCCATAGCAGTTTGTGTATTCCATTGTGCAGCCTCTAAATAACGTGTTGCTTCTTCGTTCGAACATTGTGTAACAGCAATAAAATTGTTGAGAATTTCAGTTTTATTTGTGGGTTCCATCTGAAAATCAAGTAAAACACTGTTGTGATTTTTTGATATCGATCACACTAAACTTATATTACTAATCAAACACTAGAAGGTTCTCTTCCTTTTGTTTTTTCTTTTAATTATGGAGAAAATGCAAACACAATGATTCATCCTCCATTTGACGATTGGTTGCAATCTACAGCTAATCTCAAATGAGTTTAAACTTTCTTTGTATAGAATAAATTAATATTTTGAAAATCAAATAAAGACTTAAATGATTAAAATATAAATTATAAAATATCTTATTTAAATTTATTAAAGACGTTTTTTTTCATTGGTTAATTCTTCTGTATATCAATCATTATTATTGGTAAACAAGAGAGTAGAATTGAGAGAGAGAAAGACAGTGAGTTTACGTTTTAGCTGTCTTTATTTTCCCATTAAGAGGAAAATTTTAATTCTCATCTAAAATAATTCAAATTGTTTATATTTGCTTATAATTATCCAATTAGTTTATTGTGATAAACAATAGAAATAATAATAGATATAGCGTAGAAATACTTCAAAACGTTCAATACAACATCGAATTACGAGCTTACAGACTTGTGTTTGCGTCTGTGCTCGAGTGAAGTAGGTTGCTATTTATCTTTTTTTTTTCATATCTATATACTACATTTCTCTTTTTTCTATAGATCAATATGAAGGTAGACGACATTGGAAAATATTATTCAAAATAAAAACATATTTTTTCTTTTTCATTTCTTATCTAGCGCACATTTTCAGGTGATGAATTTGATACAAATGCTGATGGTCTTGGCAACTCCAACTCCCAAATGACAGACATTGCTAAAAAAGTAAATTATTTTTCATAGAAAAAAATAATCTTGTTGCATTGTTTTTGTTTTGAAATTAGAGTCGTTCTGAACCAGCATTACCTTCTCGTGTTGTTCATTTACGAAATATAGAAGCCAGTGATCTTGAAGTTGTTCAACTTGGTCTTCCATTCGGTCGTGTAACAAATTTTTTAAATTTACGTAAAAAAGCACAGGTATTTAAAATAATAATAAAAAAAAAGATTGCTTTATTTTATGTTTTCATAATTAATTATTTATTAAAGGCTTTTCTTGAATTTGATGCAACGGATTCAGCAAAACAAATGGTTGATTATTTTACATCAATGCCAGCTATGCTGAATGGTCGACAAGTATTTGCACAATTTTCAAATCATGGTGAACTTCGTACAGATCCAACCAATCGTACAAATCAACAAGCACATGTTGCTTTAGTACAAGCTACTGATCTTTATGAAACAGCACAAAAAGGTGGACCAAATTGTGTATTGCGTGTTAGCATTATGAATATGTTATTTCCTGTTACTATTGATGTATTGTATCAGGTAATTGAAAAATAATGTGAATAGTGAAAAACTCAAGAGGAACTCATTTTCTCCTCCTACATTCTAAAAGAAAAATATACGTCGTTTTCGGTTTCAAACATAGTCTGACAAACGAATTTCTTCAGATGTCAAATCGCTTTTCGATTCAAGATGATATTTATTTCATGAGTAATAGAAAACTCTAGAATGGTTTGGTTGTCCGGGCCTTCATTCTTGACATATCGAAAACTGTACTGAATTTTGCGTCCTATCAACATTGTGCAACTAGTATTTGCTTTTTGGAGATGTAAATATATAAACTAAATTTACTTTTACACATCAGAGATTTTTGAATACCTTAGGATGAAGGATACTAGAAAAGTTACAACTT